CCCTTTAAAAGTCACTTTAGAAACCACTATTGGGACATCTGGGTGGCTCAGGCTGTTAAGCAGCTGCCCTCAGCTCAGGTCATCGAGCCCCACGTAGGGTTCCCTGCTCAGCAGTAAGCCTGCTTCTCCCTCTCCCACTCCCCCTGCTTGTGTTCCCTCTCTCGCTGTCTCTCTCTCAAATAAATAAATTAAATCTTAAAAAAAAAAAACAACCCACTATCAGTAATTTTAGAAATAAATTCTTCAGCAAGTTTATCCTCTAAGAAAAGAGAAGACACTATGGCTTAATATTTTAAAATAAGTAATATACATGATTACAATCTTAAAGAACTGTTCCTACTATGTTCACCTAAATATAAGACTATGGAGGAAGTCAACAAGGATGAGTAAGAGAAGATACTGAAATATCAAAAGGATGAAATAGATCATGAAAAAATTTCCAAACAAATTATCATTTTTCTTCAAGGAAAAAAAAGAAAATAAAAAAGCATAACCTGGTTTTAATATACTTCTGGAAAAAAAAAAAAAAGGACAATTCAGCAGTATTTCTTTTTTTTTTTTTTTTAAGATTTTATTTATTTATTTGACAGACAGAGACCACAAGTAGATAGAGAAGCAAGCAGAGAGATGGGGGTGGGGGGGAAGCAGGCTCCCCGCCAAGCCGGATGCAGGGCTCAATCCCAGGACCCCCAGGATCATGACCCAAGCCGAAGGCAGAGGCTTTAACCCACTGAGCCACCCAGGCGCCCCTCAGCAGTATTTCTTTTAAAGATGATAAATGGTCTTCAATAACATTTCTGATCAAATTAAAATTTGAAAGTAATACCTCTAAACTTTACTACTTCCTGCATGTAAATGGTATAGTTTACCCATTCTAGCCATGCTGACAGGAAAAAAAGAATGAAAACACCAGAATTAATGCTTTGCCATTCACAAAGTTCATACACATATATAAGAGCTACATTTGTTTTATGTGAGTGACAATTTTTAAAATAATCCATGATCTTGACAACACAATGACGTTAAATTGGATAAGGCTAGACTTATCTTAAAGTCTCAGAAAAATTTAAAAACCATATTTCAATCTGAAAAATCTGAGCATTAATCTAATAAAAAGTTAAATGTGCTAATATTCTTTTACCTATTTAAGAGACTAAAAAAATTAATGAATAGAATTGTATTTAAAAATTTTTTTAAGGTTTTATTTATTTATTTGACAGAAAGAGATCACAAGTAGGCAGAGAGGCAGACAGAGAGAGGAGGAAGCAGGCTCCCCACTGACCAGAGAGCCCAATGCGGGGCTCAATCCCAAGACCCTGGGATTATGACCTGAGCCGAAGGCAGAGGCTTTAACCCACTGAGCCACCCAGGTGCCCCGTATCTAAAATTTAATAAAGAATAAATTCAGAAGAATACCAACTATAATACAATACTGTTACTAATACTATTATGAATTTGATTATTATTCTCACTTGGAATTTTAACTTCAAAGATTCCTTAAGCTACTATTTTTATAATTTTTTTTACAGAATAGATTTAAATGGATTTGAATAAAATGCAGTGTAAATAAAATTCCACTTCAAGTAAACTGTGAACATATCTACCACATCTGATCAATTTGTTATATATAAAAAATAATAAATAATTATATAACTGGTAAGTCAAACTAAAAGAACAGCATATTATTATGAAATAAACCCTTAAGACAGTTCCATATGGAATAAATAATTAGAAAAATAACACATTATCTTCTCATTAAAGACACACAACAGCCAACAGAAAACATTTTACTTCCAGGTAGAAAATATTCATGCAACACAATTATTTTCCAATCTTATTTACATTTTCATGAACGTGTACACATGTATGCATACATACATGTATATATCATTAAACATCTTCAGGCAATTGTATTTCTGTCCAAATAGACCAATGTGTTCATTTAACAAACAGCTTTCTCTAAACATGAAACACTATTGAAGATGTAAAGCTGTTTCCTTAGTTCATCTTAAAGCTAGAATGCATCAATATCGCCATCTAGTGTTCCTATCAAATAAGCAAGGCCAACACAAATGTGGGCATCCTCCTCTCACTTAAAAAATTAAGTGAACTTAAGGAAATTATCATTCCTATGGGCAAGAGTAAAGTCTGATGGCTGAATGAAACAATAAAAATAGAAAAAGTCAGGGATCCTGGGTTGCTCAGTGGGTTAAGCCTCTGCCTTCAGCTCAGGTCACGATCTCAGGGTCCTGGGATCGAGCCTCACATTGGGCTCTCTGCTCAGCAGGGAACCTGCTTCTCCCTCTCTCTACCTGCCTCTCTGCCTACCTGTAATCTCTCTGTCAATTAAATAAATAAAATCCTTAAAAAAAAAAATAGAAAAGGTCACTGGGAATCAATGGGAAGGGGACAAAAGTAAACCTGTGGAAGAAATAACCCTTTTTCTAAATGTGGTTTCTGCCACATTTTGTTCTTAAACACAGTATACATGCTACTTAATTTTCTTGGATACTTTACTGACCAAGCAAAAGTAGAGGTCAACTTCATAGGGTTAGTTGCATCTATCCCTCTGTATCCCAAATGGGAATCACTGAGATCAAGTCCTAAATGATTTGTCATCAAAGGAACACGAATTCATTTAAAGCCATATTTTAAATATACAAAATTATCATTTTGATTACTGCTGAGAAGAAATAAAGAACAAAAACTTCATTTAGATTGTTAAGGTTGAAGAGAGATTAACTTCATTTTAAAAACAAAGATACATTTAGGCCAAGCTGTTTCTTAATTACATTACGGACACTGTTGAAAGCATAAACACTGGTGATACTGTTCTTCTCTAATCAAAGCCTCAGAGTAGCTAGTAAATCTCCCAATCAGCAACCTCGTGCTGGTTTTGACTGTCTATCCCTATAAACTAGACCTGCTGCTGGGAACATCTGCATCCAAGTCTGGATGCTGCCAGTGATTTGCTGTGTGGCCTTGGGCAGATCTTTGAGACACTGAGCTTCAGTTCCTTCTCCAAGACTAACCGAGTACACGGCAAACTTCCTAAGATGCAAAACACTCTCGCAACATAAGGTCCAACATGGAAGGCATCGAGGGCGAGGCGTTATGTGTGGCGATGGCAGTACTACCCGTCCTGGACCACAGGGACAGTGACGGCCATCACCACAACGATACAACCCCATCCACTCTTCAACAAAATCGGGGCGACAGTTCACAGATGTGTCTTGTTTTTTCCCCACTCCCATCCCTTTACTCCTATCATTTCCCCTTCTTAAATCTCTAACTCTACCCATTGGAAGTAAGATGTCAGCTTTATCTATTTCTTTTCCTTTTTATTTATCCAATTTCTCATTTTTTTTTTTTTTGTATAACAAACACCTATCACTTACATAAACCAGAAATACTTAAAGAAATGACTCCTACTCATTCTCCACAGCCCAGCTCCATATTTCACCTTTTCTGTGAAGCTTTCTCTCACCCTGCCCAATCCAAAAGTGCTCTCTCTGCTCTAAAATTCTCAACCGCACTATCCAGCATCCATACACCCTTACACCATTATTCTTATGTACATGTTTTATTCCCCCAGGACAAATTACAAGCTTTCCAAAAGGAAAAAAGAAAACATTTATTATCATTCCCTCCTTTGCACAAAGGTAATTTTGGGGCACTTGCGAAGTATAATCACATGTGATGTAAAGGCCTTCCTTAATCATGTACCTCACCTCTCTAGGCTTTGGTTGTCAGTGATTTACTCATTGTGTCATTCTGGGAATACCACTTAACCTCCCTAAAGCTCAGTACCTTTTAATAAAGATAATAATACCTGCTGTTTCATAGTTATTGCAACAGCAAAAAACAAAACAAAAAGTCATCTATTATATGTAGAAAGCTATTAACAAATGTAAAGTCTGATTAAAAATTAATTTCGGGGGGTGCCTGGGTGGCTTAAGCATCTGCCTTCAGCTCAGGTCATGATCCCAGGGTCCTGGATAGAGCCTAGGTAGGGCCTCCTGCTTAGCACCCTCTCTCTGCCCACCCTGCTCCCGTACTCATGCTCTCTATCTCTCTCAAATATAAAATCTCAGGGGAAAAAAAAAAAAGTTACCAGCATAGATTAGATTACAAGTCAAACATTTGTTCAGGGACTAAATTTATTTGCAGCAAATTTAAACATAAATGTTATTATTTATGTATTTCTCAACCTAAAAACATATATAGAGAACAAAATGCTCATTGCAAAGTCCGAAGTGCTTTTTAGTAATACTAGTCACATCAATTGTTTTATCTTCCAGCCATTCATACCGTATGCTAGGAACCGTTTTTCTGGACCATTTAAGAAATCTATTGTGACTATATTTTTAATAAACAGATTTTTCTGAGAAAGTCAACCAAAAGAAAGCTTAATGACTTTATTTTAAAAATATATATTTTTCATATTTTTCACTGGATCTTAGTCAAAAGGCTGAGAAGCGATTATATTTCATATTTTTGTTACTGCTGCCATCTAGTGAAAATTTTGAGAACTTAATCATTCTGGAAAAAAATTTTTTTTTAAATCATACTGTTGACATATATATGAGAAATAAAGATATTATAGATTACTTTCTTACAAATACTTTTTAAAAATTTTGTGTTCATTAGATTATACTTCTACATAATAATTCATCAATTTCATCATGAAGCCACTTACTTAAATCAGCAAGATAATTATAATTTAATTTAAAAATTCTTTTACTGAAAAAAGAAAACATCTGGAAACATCAAGTTGGTTTGGTCATCAAGTTACACCTGTAAATAGAAGCAAATTCAGGGATACCCTCAAAGATTCTGTATTTGGAATTTTCAAGTACTTACCAAGAACATACTGTTCTTAGTTAAAACAGTAACATATGCTAATTAAAAATCTAAATGCCTGGAACTATACCAACTATATTACCTGAAGAATTCCATAAAGACATAGAGGACAGATAAAAACTTATTATTAAGCTTACCTGGGAAAAGATGTTTGCTGTTGGAGCAACTCTACTGTCCACGATACTATATAATATTGCTAATAATCTGTCTAGTGGAAATGGTTTTGGTCCGAGAAGATGATTGCTTGTCTGTAACAAAAGAACATGGATTTTCTTCTTATAGCGAACTCACTTTCTGTACCACAAATTCCCAGTAACAATATACATACAATATACCCCAAAGAGCCTAACAATTCTAACTTTTAGTCTCAACGCTAAAACCTTAGCTGATATAATGGCTTATCAGTCAACATTTTCTTTAAGATTTTCTTAGTATAAACAGGTATTAAATAAACAACTCACAAGTTGTCCATCCCTAGTCCTGAACATCATACATATTCTGTTGTTATAACCAGATGGTAAGTGAGTTAAGCTAGGTCATCTGTCAAAATAGTCCATAACCAAAACCAGGGTCCGGGTCCTAATTCCTTGACTAGAACTTAATCCTTACTTTTCACTATTCACTTCTTTTTGTGCCATCACCAGGAAAATACATTTGTTCAACATTAATAGTTCTAAAAAAATCAGTTATAGTAAATACTAGCTTGGAAACCCAAAAAGATTTGATAACTTGTGAATAAGCTGTCACCCTGTAATAATGTAAAATTTAAAAACTGAAAGATTATAAAATGTGCATATTTGTGTACAAAGCCATATGGTACAATGTCTTGTCACCAGAAAACTGAAGTGCTCAAGGTCCACTCCAAGATAGTTTTAGTAGCACTGTTAGAATATAAGTACTCTATATTAGCACAATGGCAAATAAATGGAAATCTGCATTTACATGCATGAGAAAAACTATTTCTTCAAAGAATGACTGTAAAGAAAAATACCTACACAGAATTACAAAATGAAGTGTATGTTTACCTCAGCTATTTATATCTAAAAAATAGTTTAGAAATCATTTTCCAGGTCTTAAACTTTTTATCCTTTCTCATTAAATACTTCAACCATTTAGAAAAGTACAGGGGCTGATATAATGAATAATGATGTGCCCAGCACCCAATTTTATCAACCCCTAACAATATGGGATATGTGCAAAGAAAAAACATTGGATCACATTACAGATAAACTAAAGGTCCTTTACACTCCTCTCACATCCCATTTTCTCCCTAAAAGGAACCACTATCCAGAATTTGGTGTTTTTGCCACTTTCGTGACAATTTTTATACAGCTACTACAGATGCATTCATAAACAATATACAGCATTATCTGCAAGATCTAACTTCATATAAATGATATTATTTTGGCCATACCACTAGTTGCTTTTTTTCCTTCAATATGTTTTTGAGGTTTATCCATATCGATACATGCACTTCTGAGTTCTGTTCTGAAGCAACCCTACAGAATTCCATTTTAAGACAAATCACTGTCTACATCTAAAAATTCATCACTGTAATTCATCACAAGTAATCCTGTGATGGACCACATTTCCCCTTGTGCACATGTGTGAGTTTCTCTAAGTGGGACTGAGAAACTAAAGCAGAAAGCAGAGGGCAGAGACAATGCTGTGTGATCATCAACAATTCCATCTGGGGCACAGAGAAAACTACATTTCTCAGTATCTCCTGCCCGTTAGATGACTAGGGGTGAATGTGATATCACCTATTTCCAAGCCTGGCCTCTCAGACCTTTAATCTTCTTTTAATCCTTTAATCTTCTTACCCTTTGGTAGCCACTTTAGAAATCACCATGTTTTACTTGGCATCACTACAAAAGAGGGCCACCCAGCCCATACACCATTGTGTCATGAACAACATATAAATCTTTGTTATGTTAATCCACTGAGGGTTTGGGGTTTTTGCTACAGCACAACTCAGCCTATCGTGACCAATACAAAGTACACTCCCATATTAACTTTATTATGGCCAACAAACAGAATACGCAGGCTCTTATTCTTCTACATTATTACCAATAAAATCATCAGGGTGTTTTTGTTTTTTTTGTTTTGTTTTGTTTTGTTTTTTTAGTTTTGCCAATCCAAGAACATGAAATAATGGCTGTTGTTTCAAGTTTCATTTCTCAAAAAAAAAAAAAAAAAAGCAAATAAATAAAAATAGAGATTCATTTCTCTCATTAGTGAATGAGGCTGATAATCATGTCAGGTTTGTTAGGCAACTGAAAAAGGCAGATGTTACCCAAAAATGAATCACAATAATACACCTACAGAATAATTAACTAGACTCTGTCAGTTTCAGGTATACTCACCATGATCAGCTATCCTTCTTATATCATTTACCCACTTATCGACTGGATTTTTGCCTTTTTCTTAAGGGTTTATATAACTCTTAAAAAAAAAATTCTAGATACTAATCATTTGTTACTAATCATTTGTCCGTTGAATGAGTTTAAGAACTGTGGTTAACATCCAGGCGCCTGCATGGCACAGCATCTGACTCCTGGTTTTGGCTCAGGTCATGATCTCAGAGTCATGAGATCCAGTCCCATGTTGGGCTCCATGCTCAGCACAGAGTCTGCTTGAGACTGTCTGTCTCCCTCTCCCTCTGCCATAGAAGTACTGCGAATTCTGTCCCCACATCATTGTTAAAACCTAGTTTCTAGTTGAAATTCTCAGGGAAGACTTTTGTCCTCGTTTCACACAGAGTCAGAGTCTGGCAGGGAAATTTTCTTACCAAATCCATTTGCTTGGAATGGAAAGATTTTCACTTTTTACATTTTCTGGTTAGAAAACACACATCCAATTTAAAATTAAAGTGTCCTAGTGGCACATGAGGCATATGATATTTACCTTCCTCAGTGAACTCGTTTTGTGCTATACACGCAAACTGGCTTCCCTCCTAGAGGGGAAGGCAAAGTCTGAGAAATGCCTACTAAATTCATTATAGAGCTCATTAAAAAGAATGAAGACCTGTAAAAATAGATCAAAAAAAGGAAATCAAATCAAATTTTTGGGAGTTAAATGGCATCAAATTTGGTGTCAAGTTACACCAAGAAAAACAGAGAGAGAAACTTAGAGTTATGAATATTTATACTAGAAAAAACTAAAACTAGAAACAACTCAGAGAAGAGGGGAATGAGACTATGGGCAAGGAGAGGGGGAAAACTATTGCTTTTCTACATAAACTGGTGGGCAAATAATCTGGCATCACACACAGGCATTAGTTGAATTAAAAAGTAAAATCTTGAAAAAATCAGTGTCAGCTAAGGATAGAGAAAAAGAATTATACAATCGAAGATATATAGTATTTTCAAAACAACTGTTACAATAATTATCCATACGGTCTGCTTTTTAATGTGTATTGTCTTGATTAGATTGAAAGCTTCATGAAGGCAGAGACAACGGCTATTCTGTTCTCCACGCTATCCATAGCATCCAGCAGAGTGCCTGGCATAAGATAAACATTCAATCAAGATTTCAAGGAAGAGAGGAAACAAAAATATAAACTAGTAGGTATACGCAGGGAGCTTTCAGTTAAACTCAGATTTTTAAAAGGACATGAACCAAAGACAAAAGAGGCTACTTACTATGAAGGTCAAATCAGTAAGAATCTCATCAGAAGAACTACACTTCCTTTACAACTAGACATTCTCATGAGGTCTTTGCTCATACGGTTCCCTCTGTCAAGACTGCCCTTCTCAGGGAAGGACAAACAAGTGCAAATCCACTCGTTCCATAGGGGTGGTCTCAATTGCCAGGATGTCACAGTCCTCACTGACCTTCATAAAGCCCTCATGTATCTCCCCTCCCCATCAAAATCCTTAAATGGTTTTCTCTGTCTAAAGAACAGGCCTAAAATTCTTAGCCTTATGTTCATTCTTCAATTTTCTTTATTCTACCTATTCACTTGTAAACACCCACAAATACCACCAAGTGCTGAGATACAGATGTGAACAGATGGGCTTCCTTCCCTTAAGGAACTGGTGAGTAACAAAATTCTTCTATAATCTAGCCTCACATGACTTTTCTCTGAAACTCACTTCACACTTCAGCCAATTACATTTTGCTATTTCTTTTATATGCCCTACACTTTCTCACCTTGGCCCTAATTATTACCTCAAGTGGAATACCCCCTCTCCCATCTTTGCACATCCAGTTCCTGTAAGGGCCTACTTAGCCAGAGCGACTCCATCTCGATTGAACAGCCATTTTGTTGTTTGTGCAGTAAAACTTAAACTGGCCCTGCCCCCCCACCCCACCCCTGGAGGAACTTACTTAGAAGCAAGTCCGGGAAACCAGTAAAATATGGTCGACCAGTCCCTAATAACAGAGCCCAAACACAAGGACGGGTCAGGTCAGGTGGAGGTAACAGAGCCCAGAATGCAAGGACAAGTCAGGCCAGGTGGAGATGATCTCATTGGCCAGGCTCAACCACATGGCCTTTACTCTATAAAAGCCAGTCTGTGAAGCTGGGGGTGGTTGCTCTCTCTGTAAGAGACGACCCCGACAGGTCAGTTTGATTCTTGATGCTGGCACGAAATAAAGCTTTGCTTGACCTTCACTTTGTATCAGCCTGGCTCCTTTGATCACGGACACCATCAGTTCCCACCATTCTTTAATTTTTTTTTTTTTTTTTTTTTTTAGATTTATTTATTTGAGAGAGAGAAGAGAGAGAGCAAGCGAGAACAAAGGTAGGGGGAAGAGAGAGAGAGAGAGGGAGAAGCAGACTCCCCAGAGAGCAGGGAGCCCAACACGGGGCTTGATCCTAGCACCCTGAGATCATGACCTGAACCAAAGACAGATGCTTAACCAAATGAGCCACCAGGTGCCCCAATCCCCATGATTTTTGAGTGCCACTCATATGCAAGCCTACCACAGATCCTTTCCTGACCACCCCAGCTGTAAGCACTCTCTCCTAACAATCCTTTATTACCCAAACCAACTATACACATAAGAAAGAAGGTACAAAATCAATGATCTGCCTATGGTGGAAAGCCTAATCAGAGATGTGTCAATGAAGAGGCAATACCAGAAAAAATTTTCCATTCCAAGCAAATGGATCTGCTAAGAAAATTTCCCTGCCAAACTCTAACTCAGTATGAAGGGAAGACAAAAGTCTTCCCTGAGAATTTCAACTAGAAACTGTAGCTTAATGTTGAGATGGGGGCAGAATTCACAGTACCTCTGTGGTCTGAAAACCCCCAAGGCTAAGATCTGAATTTCAAATGATCATAGGTTACTGGCGTTCTTAAGTGCCTGCACAGAAGTAAACAAAAAACCTTTCTAAAGGAACACACTTCAGGCCTCAAAACTTCCAAGATGAAGTTCAGTCAACAATTAAAAGTAATAAAATGTTCAGGAGCAAGGAATTACATACATGAGTGAGTAAAAACAGAAAATGGAGATTTCGTAGATTGACAAGGACATCTAATATCAGAATATAAAATATTTCTCTGTTAAAGAAAAATGGGACTAGGAAAAATATAAAAGTGATCAGACGTGAACCAATGAAACATCTAAAAATTACAAATGACATTATTGGAATTATAAAGGTGATTTAAACAAAAGAAACAAAGCTGGAGAGAAAGTCAGAACATAGAAGTGAAGAGATCACCCAGAATTCAGCATACAGAGCCTAAAGGTAATAAAGAATGAAAAAGACTTAAGAGACGAGGACAGAGTAGGAAGATCTGACCTATATCTAATCAGCATTTCAGGAAGACATTGTTAGAGAGAATGAGGGAGAAGCTAATATTTGAAAAGTTAATTCATCAGAACTGAATAAAGGCATCGTTATTCAAATTCAGGAAACAAAACGAACCCCAATTAGAAAATTCAATCCCAGATCCACCACAGTCAAACAGTAAAAACACTAAAGGAAAACAAGAGGGAAAACGTGTAAGAGAAAAACAAGAAGAACTTGTAGGAACTTGTAGAGAAAAACACAGGTATCAACAAAGGAATAACAGACTAACAGCAAATTTTTTAGTGGCAACAATACAGCCAGAGACAGCATAACAATGTCTTCAAAGTCATGAGAAAACACTACCATCTTAGAAGAGCATACTGAGAAAAACTGCTTTTAAGAATGGAACTGAGAAACAAGACTCACAGCTTCTATGGCATAAAGTTTACAGACAGAACTTCTCCACCTTTTCCCAAGAGAGGCAGCAGTGGTTTTGATATACAGAGCAGAACAAGTATCTGAGCAGTCCACACACTCCATCCGCCAGTTTCAACGTGGCCCTACACCCTGCCTTCAAATGTGCTCAGGGCCTCTGATTTCTAAGCTATTCCACATTCCACAAACCTGCTTGCTTTGGGGCTTGGGTGCCTGCCCTCTCGGCCTTTTCAGTCATCTGTGCATCTACCTACAATGCAGTTCCAAGTCGTGTGGGTCTCTCGTCCACTTAGTCCCCATATGTTCACCTTTATTATTTCTTCAGGGTCATTTTTGTGAGGGTTTCAAAGGAAGAAACAGGAAAACCAGCTGTGTTTAGTTAAAAATTCCAGGGTAATCTTTTTCATCTATGAATTCACTGAAAGAACTTGTCAACTCACTTTTATCTCCAATACCAGCTCACCCGAATGTGTCTTCATCACCACGTTCAATGTAACAAAATACAACAACATTATAATGGTATCTTATCAATTCTTATATCCAAATGACTAATAAAAGCATGCATTTATCCACTTTCCACAGTGACCTGAATTCATGAGTTTTTCCCAAGAGAAATTAGAAGGTAAATACCTTTTCGTGTTTCTTTAGAAAGTTGGTTTTCTTGATTTTCCCATGATGCTGCAATTAAGGAAAATAATTGTTAGGATGGAAAAAAAAAAGGCAATACTCCACAAAAACAGAAAACATAATTTAAAACCTGGCATATATAATACTAATTTACATATTTCTTATTTTATTTACTATCACCTAAAATATCAACATATTTTAGGCTGCTTTGACTTAGATTTCAATCATATTCAAGATTACTTCTGTATTTAAAGAAAAAGGTGTTAAACTAAAATAGTGATACTTCCTAAGAGATTAACTTATTATTTTAATATTACTATTAATAATTTATTATTAACTTATTAACTTACTAGCTTATTACAGCATATTTGTTTGTATAAAAACAAAACTTCCACAGATAAATGGGTTTTTATTCATCCTTAAGGCAGGCTGTCAATTCACCTAAGAAACACTAAGAACATTTGGTTAAGCATTTGGGATTTAATAGTGGAGAAAAAAATAGATGTGGTCCTTGACTTCACGAAACGAAGACTACTGGGAGAGAGATGCAGAACAACAAATAAAAATTTATTAGAAATATATTTAATAATGAATCAAATTGCATTTTTTTTCCCAAAAAGAAAACAATTCCAAAATGGGATTTCTCCAACTAATGTACACACAGATGAGTCTCCTGAATGTTCTGGATAACGCTGTATGGAGTGCATGGCACTACTGAAGGAGCTTTAGAAGAATAAAGGAGTTACCACCCTTAAAATTATTCCCATCTTTCATACTTTACACAAAACCTTATTTATATATTTTTTAAATCTAGAACTATTACCTAAAGTATACCTGAACTCTTCTGTGAAGCAACATACTTTCAGGTTGTGACCCTAATTTAAAGTCTTTGAAGAGTAAGTCCTAAATATACATTTAGCAATCTCTTATTCTAATCTCTGCCCCTGAGAACTTACAGGTGTTGAGAAATTTCAAAACATCCCTGGAATCTTCAAAAACAAAGTAAAAAGAAATAATTATTACCTTAAGGAAGAATCTCTTGTCAGTTCTTGCTGGATTGTATGAAGCGAGGTATGCAGCAATTAGAATAAACTTAGAGTAATAGGGAAGCTCCACGTGAGTATATGCCGAGAGACCTACATAACAAAAATCTTTCATGAAGGCATTTGGTAGGCTACCACTAAGATTTTAAGTATCTCTTATCTTTTCTCACTGATCTTTTAACTTCCATATGGTGTCCTCTGGTAAAAATGACCTACTCCCTGAGTTTAAAGCACCATTATAATGGGCAGTGGTGGTGAACATTACTATTAATCATATGCTTGCTCACTCTATTATTTTTGCTTAGCTCCTCCTATTCTGAGGTCTAAATCCTACCCATCCTGCCCTTCAAAGCCATACTTTCCATTAAACTCCCCTGCTGCTCTCCTATCATACCAAAATAAAAAATCTATCCCTACCTTGTGAATTTCACTTATGACCCATGTAACTTTATACCTTGTATTAACAGTGAGCTGTACATATATTTCTTACCAAGTTATAATATTTGCTGATGCAAACACATCTGGGTTTTGTTTTTGTATCCCTATGGAAATAATTAAATAAATGGATAAATAAAACAAAGGAGCTGGTCAAATACTATCGATTTTTACAGGATAGCAAGGAATCTGATATTTACTGAGTATCTAGCACAGACAATGTGCTAGGTGCCACCTTATTACTGAGGCATCTTCAAATCCTTGCCATAAGTTAAAGTTAGACATTCTTTTTATTTTAGATGAGGACATTGAATTGGACTCAAGGTCATACAATTAGGGAATAGTGAAGACCAGTTATTGCAGATTTTCTAAGGCTAGCATCTATTTTTTTCCACTGGAACACACAACTGAAAATCACTTGTACAGCACCTAGGGCATTTAGAAACCAAAAGAGAAAAAAGAGAATTGCAACACCACTTAATTTTATACCATTTTCTCCAACCACTAGCCAGTGATCTACTTTTTCCAATAAGAATATTTTAGACACTTGCTCAATTTTTTTTTAAGTCAAGTTGTTCTACTGGGATAAATCCAAAATAATAGTTTCTTTAAATAAAACAAAAGCACAAAGCTTTTTAAACATAACCAACAAAAATGCATCCCCCAAACTGAATTAACATAAAACTCAAGAAATACATATATACTGAGATAAAATTGTGTCACAGAACTGAACAAAAGCATTTAAAGAAATTAAACTGCTTGATTTTTACATGACATAATTCAACATTTAGAAAATAGAAAACTGGTATTAGAGAATTATTTCCTCTCATAAATTGGGAGTTTCACTTAAGAGAAAATCATTAATTAAAATATCATCATAGTTTCTAAATTCTTTTCCATAACACCGTTTACTGACTGATGCTATCTTTAGTATTAATTTCAGTATCTTGATTATTAGTAATCAATTAAAGAAATGTCTCTGGTAACTGTCTCAATACTTCCTCTGATACCTTTAAGTTGTGCTGGATCTATGTCATCTTTCTGTAACTTTTCCCACTGTGAACTGAAAGAAAATAGAAGAGCAATAATGGTTTGAAAATGTATGAAATCAGTATACTGTACTTAAAAGAGTCCTAGAAAAAGTAATTTTTTGGCTTAAGAAAATAATCAATTTCCTTATAAATAAGACAACACAGACATGCAATGTACATGTCTGTGCCTTAACGAAATCATTGAGGGAATATTAAAACAACACAAACTTACATATCAATATCCAGATGTTAATTTTTTAATCTCTTTTCCTGATCATTATTTTAAAGTTATCAAAAAGTACCAATAAATAACATCACCTATCCTTCAGTTAAAACTCCCAATGCTCCAGTTAGCATATTAAATGCAATCGTTATACACTATTTCTAACTCCATAACAATCACTCTTTAAAAAAAAAAAAAGAGGGGCTCCTGGGTGGCTAAGGTCATGATCCCAGGGTCCTGGGATCAAGCCCCGCATCGGGCTCTCTGCTCAGCAGGGAGCCTGCTTCCCCCCCTCTCTCTGCCTGCCTCTCTGCCTACTTGTGTTCTCTCTGTGTCAAATAAATTAAAAAAAAAAAAAAAAAATTTTTATCTATCTGAGAGAGAGAGAGAGCTCAAATGGAGGAGAAGAGCAGAGGAAGAGGGAGAGGCGAGCTCCCCACTGAGCAGGGAACCCAACGTGGGGCTCAATCCCAGCACCCTGGGATCATGATCTGGGCCGAAGGCTAATGCTTAACCGACTGAGCCACCCAGGTGCCCCTACATAACAATCTCTTAAAATAAGTACCATTACATCAGAAAATTGAGGCCCACAGGTTAAGCTGCCCAAGGACACCAGGCCAGAGCTAAGACCTGAATCCTTACAGAATGGCATTTCATTTCCACTGCCCCTCTTTGATCTTACCTGCAATTAAAACTACTAAACACCCTCAAATATTATTAAGAATATGAAGCCATGATATGACAAAATTCATTAGGAAACACACTATAGTGTAAGGAAAAAGACTGCCCCAAGAGACATTTTAGCTGTATGACCTTGAATAAATCAATAACCTTCTCACCAAAAAATAAGGCAGTTAGATGCAATGATCTCTAAGAACCCTCTCAAACTCTTTAACTCAGCTCTTAATATACCAATTTAAAAATAAATGCCAGACCAGAACTAAATATCCCAAATCAAACTATGTATTTTTTTCAAAACTGCAAGCAGTGCTGAAAATTATGGAAATAAAGGCATACCTCATTTTATCATGCTTTACTTCACTGTGCTTTGCAGATAGTGCTTTTTTTTTTTTTTTACAAATTGAAGCTCTGTGGCAACCCTGCTTCAAGCACATCTATCAGTGCCATTTTTCTTACAGCAACTGCTCACTTCATGTCTCTTTGTCACATCTGGGTAATTCTCATACTATTTCAAATTTTTTCATTTTTATTATTTCTTATGGTGATCTGTGACCAAGTGACCTTTGATATTACTATTCTAATTGTTTTGGGGGTCATGAACTGCACCCACAGAGGACAGCAAACTTACCTGCTCTACTGACTGGCCATTCCTCCATCTCTTCCTCTCCTTGGGCCTTCCTATTCCCTGAGACACAATTATATCGAAACTGGGCCAATCAGTAACCCTACAATGGCATCTGAGTGTTCAAGTGAAAGGAAGAGTTGCATGTCTCTCACTTTAAATCACCAGCTAGAGAATATTAGAGCTAGTGAGGAAGTCCTGTCAAAAGCTGAGATAGACCAATAGCTAGGCCTCTTGCACCAGTTAGCCAAGTTGCAAAAGGAAAGAAAAAGTTCTTCAAGGAAACTGAACGTGCTACTCCAGCACACACACAAAACAGTAAGAAAGCAAAACAGCCTTGTTGCTGATCTGGAGAATATTTTAGGGGTCTTGGATATGGGATATGGACAGTGATATGGACAGAAGATCAAAACAGCCAAAACACTCCCTTAAGCCAAAGCCTAATCCAGAGCAAGGCCCTAACTCTTCAATTCTATGAAGGCTGAGAGAGGTGAGGAAGCTGTAGAAAAAAGGTTTGAAACTAGCAGAGGTTGGTTCATGAGGTTTAAAGAAAGAAACAATCTCTATAACATAAAAGTGCAAGGTGAAGCAGAAAGTGCTGATGTAGAAGCTGCAGCAAGTTCTTCCAGAAGATCTAGCTAAGATCATGAATGAAGGCGGCTGCACTGAACAAGAGGTTTTCAGTGTAGGTGAAACAGCCTCCTACTGGAAAAAGATGCCATCTGGGACTTTCATAGCTATGGAGCTGACTCTCTTATAAGGGGCTAATGTAGCTGGTGACTTTCAGTTGAAGCTAATGCTCACTGACCATTCCAAAAATCTCAAGGCCCTTAAGAATGATGCTAAATGTACTTTGCCTGTGTTCTATCAATGGAGCAACAAAGCCTGCTGACAGCGCATGTGTACAACATGGTGTACGGAATATTTTAAGCCCACTGTTGAGACCTACTGCTCAGAAAAGATTCCTTTCAACATATGACTGCTCACTGACAATGGACCTGGTCACCCAAGACCTCTGAGGGAGATGGACAAAGAGATTCATGTTGTTCTCAGGCCTGCTAACACAGTATCCATTCTGCAGCCTCTTGATCAAGGAGTCACTTCAACCTTATAGTCTTACTATTGAAGAAATACATTTCTCAAGGCTAGAGCTGCCAGAGATGGTAATTCCTCTGACGGATCTGAGCAAAGTCAATTGAAAACCTTCTGGGAAGGATTCACCAGTCCAGATGCCATTAAGGACATTCATGATTCACGGGAAGAAGTCAAAATATCAACAGTAATAGGAGTTTAAAAAAAGCTGATTCCAACCCTCAAGAATGACTTTGAGGGATTCGAGACTTCAGTGGAAGAAATAACTGCAGAAGGGGTGGAAGAGCAAGAGAACTAGAATTAGAAGCGGAGCCTGAAGATGTAACTGAACTGCGGCAATCTCATGACAGAACTTTTTTATAGATGAGGAACTGCTTCAGATGAACAATGGAAGGGGTTTCCTGAAAGGGAATTTGGTTAAGATGCTAATGAAGATTTTTGAAATGACAACAAAGGATTCAGAATACTATATAAATTTAGTTGTTAAGGGGCACCTGGGTGGCTCAGTGAGCTAAAGCCTCTGCCTTTGGCTCAGGTCATGATCTCAGGGTCCTGGGATCAAGCCCCACATCGGGCTCTCTGCTCAGCGGGGAGCCTGCTTCCTCCTCTCTCTGTCTGCCTCTCTGCCTACTTGTGATCTCTGTCTGTCAAATAAGTAAAATCTTAAAAAAAAAAATTTAGTTGTTAAGGTGACAAGAAGATTTAAAAGTACTGACTCCAATTTTGAAAGTTCTACTGTGGGTAAAATGCTATCAAACAGCATTATAAGCTACAGAGAAATCGTTCATGAAAGAAGAGTCTACAGATGCAGTAAATTTCACTGTTGCCTTAAGAAATTGCCACAGCCACCTCAATGCTCAACAACCACCAACCTGAGCAGTGAACAGGCATCGACATCAAGGCAAGACCCTCTGCTAGTGTTGGGGCCAATTTCATGTTAAAACCTGTTAAACCCCTAGGGCCTGCCTGGGCCTGCTTAGCCAGAGTGACTCCATGTTGCCTAGATAGCCATTTTGTTGCCTAGGTAGCCATTTTGTTGTTACCATGTTGCTTAGGTAGCCATTTTGTTGTTTAATAAACGCCTCAGCAGTTAGTGATATCGGTTCCAGGTAACCATTGCTAAAACACACACCTAAAATAAGGCCAGGCAGGTAAAAGACATCTAATCAGCCAAAGCCACATACGTAGAGGTCTGCGGTTGTGCCCTATAAAACTAGCCTGTAAGACCGAGGGGTCGTCGCTCTCTTTGGAGGCAGCCCTGGCCAGTCAGAGACGACTTCTAATGCTTGGCATAGAATAAAGCTTTACATAACTTTCACTTTGTCTCAGTCTCATTCCCCTGGCTGGTCAGTCTAACTTCTAATGCTTAGCATAGTACAAGGCTTTGCATAACTTTCACTTTGTCTCAGTCTCGTTCCTTTGATAACGGACCCAACACTAGCCAAAAACAAACAAACAAACAAACAAAACAACAACATTGCAACTCACTGAAAGCTCAGATGATGGTTAGCATTTTTTAGCAGTAACATATTTTTTATTAAGGTATATGTACACTGTGCAGTTTTTTAAGATAAACTACTGTACTCTTAACAGATGAGAGTACAGTGTAAACTAACATATATGCACTGGGAAACCAAAAAACTCATTTGACTCACTTTATTGCATTATTATTTTTTTTAATTGCAGTAGTCTGGAAGAAAATCTGCAATATCTCCAAGGTATGCCTGTATAGCAATATGGGAAATTCTGACATACTACTAGTAACCTTGTGGAGAGCAGAGCTAGCACAACAAGCTGACTTTCAAAACAGATCACTTCCTCCACCTTATAATTCAATATTGCTTCACAGATTATAAGGCATTTTCACATTCATTACTTCTTATAAATGCAAATAAAAATAAATTTTTCATTTACATTGTTATAACCCAGACTTTGAGGCAGTTTAAATTGGTAAGAATTTCTTATATAGCAATTACCCATTTAACATTATTTACACTTGCAAAACAAGGAGATAAAATGACATCTTTAATGAGAAGAGAGGAGACTAACATTTATGTCTCTTATGAACCCAGTTCTTAAGATATTCCATTTAATATTCATGAACTTATAAGACAGAAACATATCCTTTTTTTCCCCCTTTTTTTACAAATGACAAAACTGAAAGAGAAGTTAACCAACACAAAGCTTCTACATGGTAGAACCAGTTTCAACTGAGATCTAACTAAAAAGTCTATCCACCAGCACCTGGGTGGCTCAGTCCTGGTTGAGCATCTTCCTTCAGCTCAGGTCATGGTCCCGGGACTGAGCAGCACATCAGGTTCCCTGCTCAGTGGGGAGTCGGCTTCTACTTTTCCCTCTGCCCATCCCCCTGCTTGGGCTCTCTCTCTCTCTCTCTCTCTCCCTCTCTCCTCCTGTATCTCAAATAAATAAATAAAATCTTCTTTTAAAAATGTGGAACAAGGTCTTTTTTTCACTTCTAGAAAATCTTGGATAACAGTTTTAGATCTTAATTCAAATCCATTGTTTTCATTCTTTAGGAACTCCAATTACACATACATTGAATCTTCTTTGCCTATCACATTTATTAGATTCTACTTGATTATTTTTACCTCTTTATTTAGTTTTGTCCTCCTGGTTGTTTTCATTCTTCTCTTCAATATTCTTTTTTTTTTTAAGATTTTATTTATTTATTTGACAGATCACAAGTAGGCAGAGAGGCAGGCAGAGAGAGAGAGAAGGGAAGAAGCAGTCTCCCCGCCGAGCAGAGAGCCCGATTCGGGGCTCGATCCCAGGATCTTGAGATCATGACCTGAGCCGAAGGCAGAGGCTTTAACCCACTGAGCCACCCAGGTGCCCCTTCTCTTCAATATTCTTTATTATATTCTCAATTGAATCTACTCTCCTTTGGATATCTTAAAATTTCATGTTCAAATGAGGAAATTACTTTTGCTTGAATTCCATTCCTGAGTTTGGTCAATTTTGTTTCACATCTTCCTATTTTTCTATTCTGAGTTGCTGAATTTCTGATTTTAAGTATTTTTTCATATTAGAAGATGCTTGTTTAAAATTTAAAATATCTTCCTGTGCTTTATTTTGATGGGAAGGGAAAAATTCTTATCAGCGAAAATTTTTTTATTCACATTTTCTATTTCTTCTTATAATACCTTTTTGTGGATTTTCTATTTATATTCTCTTCATTTTGAAATGCCCAGCGTTTGCTTGGATCAGCAAACAGATGATACTATGAATGCAGGGGTGAGAGGGTTTGGGATGGCTTAGTAGAGTTCTTGGTTCTAAAATGCCTTCTTCTGTAAAAATGAAATGCATCTTCTTTAAAACATAGTGCCTTTTTGAGGGGGAGGGATTGGCTTATCTTCCAATTTCGTCATTCTTTTTTTTGTTTGATAGGGGGGTGGTGCCATGGCTATCCTAATTTCTACCCCTTGCTTTTTTATTGACTACCTACCTACCCTTCAGGGGATACCCTCAGCTTCCAAATCATCTTTCTGTCTTCCCTCAAAAACAATCCTTTAAAACAACAACAACAACAACAATCCTTTTCCAAGACTACCATGATAATTCTTGCCATACATACTCTTAAAACACTTCCTTTTGATTCTTTAGTAGCCAGTGCTTTAACCCTGGGTCCCACTTGTTCTCAATGTTTTCCCACTCAGGGCCAGACTCTCATCCAGAGGTGATTTCATCTGTCTTTCTTCACAACTAGTGAGCCCATCCTCTTCTTGCAGTCACTGCTTAACATTTTACTTCAGCATGAGCTCAGGAGCTGGCTCCACTGGCTTAGGCTGTTTCACTAATTACACATAAACTGAAGTTTGTAGTCAACTCCATAGCCACCCAGTTATACTGCAGACAGGAGTTATGAGTGATTTTATCTCCTCTCCTTATTGAGCTTGTGGAGAAAACTGGATTTACATGCATGGCCATGACTATCCTATGAGAAACTCTAAGTACTTTATTATGTAAAAATCATTTTAACAAGCATCCAAATTTTTCTATCTTTAAAAGAGCAGATCACAAGCTTTTCTATTCTGTGACTTCCAAAAATCCTTATCAAATGACTTTTATTATTGAAAAGTGGAATAACAGTATCTTTGTAATGTTTCTATTTATTTAAAAACTACTGAATTGGGGTCCTGGGCAGCTCAGTTGGTTAAGTGACTGCCTTCAGCTCAGGTCATGATCCTGGAGTCCCGGGATCGAGTCCCGCATCAGGCTCCCAGCTCCATGGGGAGTCTGCGTCTCCCTCTGACCTTCTCCTCGCTCATGTTGTCTCTCACTGTCTCTCTCTCAAAAAAATAAATAAAATCTTTAAAAAAAAAAAACAGAAAACTATTGAATTGCTCCCTGAATTATAATCTAATCAATTAATTAAATGAAAAGCAAAGTTAGTAAAGAATAGTAGTTACATATGGATATTGGGGAGGGTATGTGCTATGGTGAGTGCTGTGAAATGTGTAAGCCTGATTATTCACAGACCTGTACCCCTGCGGCAAATGATACATTATATGTTAATAAAAAAAAAAAGTAGTTACAGATTAAGGTATTTATGAGAGAAAAATGATAACACAACCAACCAGAAAGTGAGAAAAGCAGATCGTGTTGTTGATATTTGTAACTGAGGCTTAACCTATCACCTGTAAGGCACTGTATTATTCATAAATCGTTCTCACACACTTTAAGTCTTGGAAAGACTATGAGAGGAGGGAGCTGAGGCCTAGAGGTAGAAAATGGCTGAAAGAGAAATCAAAACCCTATTCTTCTCACTATATGCCACCACATCTCCTGAGCAGTTTCACTACTATGAAGTTCTAAAAGCAGACAAGTGCAGACTTAGTATTTGATTTACACATTGCTTTAATAATCAAGTTTTCATTAAACCTATTCAAATACTTAAACCAAATATAAAAAACAAAGCTAAAGCTGATTTTCCTGTAGCTTTCCAGACCTAAAAAAAGTTAGCAATTGTGAAATAAATGCCTTGCTTCAAACTGTGTAACATACTGGTTAAAAATTGTCTGTCCTTCCCAAAATAAGAAGAAATGATTAAAAACTCATGAGTTTTTTCCTAGTGTGAAGAAGGTAAAGGAAAACATGTAAACTTTAGTAGACAAAATATCTACATTAAAAATAGAAATATACACACTAACAGAAAATTACCTTGATATTTCCCTGAGATAAACAGTCTGCATGGCTCTCTTCAAATGAGGTTCAATATTTCTCCAGAGTTTGCGAGTATCACGTTCATTTGCTACCCCAAAGGGGAGAAAATTTCAAAAATTCAGATCTTACAGAAATTGTTTCAAAACAAATATTAATAAGTAAAATTACACAATTACCTTCTCCTTTAACCACAGGTTCACAATATTTAGGAAAATTAAGTACTGCCTGTAAATGAAGGGAAAAAAAAGAGAGAGAGAAAGCACTTATTCGCCACAAATAGGAATTATTTTCCAAGTACAATGTTAATTAGAATGTAGGTAATTTTACTTCAATATAATTACTCAGGTAAAATATTATTATAGCTTATTACAATAATAAAACAACAAATATAAAAAATGATAGTAAAACAACATACAAAATACTCCTGAATTGCCTAAATCCCGCCTAATATATTAGCCTCTAGATATAAAGTAATGGAGCGAAGCATAATTTGTAATTTTAGTTTATAATTATATATAGTTTATAATTTTATTATTTATAATAAAATAAAATTATATTATAATTTATAATAGTTTATGACAATAAAGGACCATAAAACACACAATACCACTAAATTTAACCTGTTACTTTCCAAGGTCTGAACATTTTCACAAATCAAACATTATCTCATTCAGTACAATTCAAAATTATGAAATTGGCACCACCACCTGAGACTATTGTAAATGCAAGTTCTTGGCACCATGCCAGGCACACACGATCAGAACCTCTAAGAATGAGATCCAGGAATCCACTTTAACAATCTCTCCAAGAATTCTATGTATTCCAAAGTCTGAGAAGCACTAACTAATCAAGATTATTTATTAGTTTTCCATGAATCAACAGGAATTCTACCAAGAAGTAGTTCAAGCAAACTTATAAAAACAAGCTGCTGCCATTTATTAATATTAACTTGATCACAAGTATTTCATACTGAAATGATTCCATAATGAAGCCTGGGGATAGACAGAGGTAAATATTCACATATTAACTATCCAACCTCAAATCTAGAAGGTGAGAGAGAGCTGAGAACTAATCCTTGAAACAGTTTTTCCTATTTTACTTCATAAAAAGCAACAGTTTAGGGCAGAAAAATCTTCCAAACTCTGTTCATATTAAGTGTAGAGAGGCCAACTCTCTGAGCTTAGTTTCAGGTTTTCAGATCTAAACACTGCTTAATAACAGTGACGTCACGATATCAGAAGTAACTGGTAAACAACTTGGCGAACTGCTTTTTTTTCTTGGCCAAACCATTAAAATACATGTTTAATCATTTACAAATAGCAGTAAAAAGTAATGAAGATAACTTTAGGAGACTATTTTCTCATTTTAATTCAGTAAATTCATATCTTCCCCATGTCATTCCACAAGAACTTGTTGAGTATATAAAGCTATAAGATTATGAGTACCCATAACTGTCCAAATACAATCTCGGTATTTAAGTAAATCATAAATCCTAGCCCTTACAAACAAGGGAAATTTGACAAAATAATCTGTCCAAATACAAAATACTTTTCACAACTTTGGCTATTAACACTCAAATGTGCTCTCTAATATTATACCCATTTCTCCTATATTAATCCTCAAATATAAGCAAATCTTAATTCCCTATATATAGGATTATTTACACCAAAATCTAACTTTAGGACCATTGATAATTTAAACTGTCCTCCAAATTACCCAGAGACTGGAAATGAAAAGCCTGCTAATAAAATCACAAAAATAATTCCAAAGCCCAAGCAAAAATAATTTTTAGAAAATTTTTTGATATAATAAATTTCTATTCCCACTGAACATTCCCCCCATGTATCTCCCCATTATTCCTAAACTTGTAAGTATATATTTTACTCTTACCTCAAAAAGGGGATGGGGGCAAGACAGAGGCATAACTTTATTAAGAAATGACCATGTGCTCAGTAAATATTCATGCTCACAACAGGAGAAGCTTAATTATCAAGAGTTAGTTATGGCCACCTGTTATCTCACTTATTCCTGACAACTGCACTTTTATTATGCCCATTTGTTGGCCAAGAAAGCAAAATATAATTTGCCTATAGGCACAGAGATTCCAGTGCCTGAATTCATGATCATGATCTGTGAGATGTCCTGGGAATTTATTTCTAAACCAATAAGGGCATTAAGTTATCAAAGCCTGACCAAGGTGAAACAGAGAGACTATTTCCCTTATACAGCAAAGAAAAACTTGCATTGCTTTAAGAGGCCAAACAATCCATTAGATAGGCAATTTAGGAAACTTTCAACTCTTTCTCAGTGAGATTTTCAAAGAAAATTCATTATTCTACTTGAAATTATTTGTTAGAAAACCATCTAAAAAGGGCACCTGGCTGGCTCAGTCAGAAAAGTGTGCCCCACAATCTCAGAGTCATGAGTTTGAGCCCCATGTTGGGTGTAGAGATTACTAAAAACAAAACTTAAAAAAAAAAAAAAGATACATGTATACTATAGTAAGCAAAACTCTAGGATAGCCCCCCAAGACTGCCAGCCCCTGATATATATGCATACCTTCTCTCATTATTCAATCAAACATTAATTTAGGTACTGCTATAAAAGAATTTTGTAGATGTAATTAAAGTCCCAAAGATAGTCCCCAAAATAGAGATAATCAGATGAGTCTGACCTAATCACAGAAGCCCTTCAAAAACAGAAAGTGTTCTCTGGCTAGTCACAGAAGTCAGAGATTAGGAGTATAAGGACTAAACAAACCCTTGCTGGCTGGTGGATGGATAGGTAAGTGGCAAAGAACATAGGTGCTCTCCAGGAGGCCTGGGACTTGGCTGACAGCTGGCAAGACAGCTTCAGACCTCATTCTTACAGCCAAGAAAACCTGCATTCTGTCGAGTCTGAACGAGCTTGGAAGCTATTTTCCCTAGAACTCAAGATGAGAATAGAGTTTAGGCAAAATTTTAATTTTATCTGATATCCTGAGCAGAAGCCAGCAACAGTACCTGGATTTCTGACCTACAGAACTGTGAGCTAATAAATGTGTATTGTTTTAAGCCACTAAATTTGTGGTAATTTGTTACACAACAATAGAAAGCTAACACACATGTTCAAGTACAAATATAGAAACATATTTTAATATTCCAAGGCCACACAGAAATAATTTCTGAACTCTTTTGCCTTTTTAAGAATGCCTACATTTCATCTCTGAAATATTAGAGATATAAAAATCAGAACTGAGAACATCTGTGTTAACACTGATTTAATCAAGCAATGGAGCCCTTATTATATGCATTAACTCATTTAATCCTCTAAATGAGCCTATGGGGTAGACATTATTATTATCATCCCCATCTTACCCAGAAGTTAAAGTATGCTCCCAATCTCTGACTTCCCCTTCTTTCAGCAGCCACAGAAAACTCTCCTTTTAAAGTGCTCATGGGATTATGTGATACCCACCTTGGTAATTGTCCTATCTTAAAACAGGATATACTGGGGCACCCGGGTGGCTCAGTGGGTTAAGCCTCTGCCTTCCGCTCAGGTCAAGATCCTGGGATCGAGCCCCGAATCAGGCTCTCTGCTCAGTGGGGAGCCTGCTTCCCCCTCTCTCTCTGCCTGACTCTCTGCCTACTTATGATCTGTCAAATAAATAAAAATTAAAAAAAAAAACCATAAAACAGGATATCCTAAAGCCAGACAGATATGAAAAATGATTAAGTTGAAATTCTGATGAGGAGCAGGGTATTTACAAGGTTTTGAGATACTTCCCCACAACAAGGAGAAAAGAAATACCATCTTAATCAAATGATCAAAGTGAACATTACCAGTTATAAAATAAAATGAAATCCTGTAACACCTGACAAGATGCAATGAGAAGAAAGCATCATTTCTGTGATATTTCTGTCAGATGCATAACCTGAATTTGACCATAAGCAAACAAATGAAAGGTGATTCCACAAAACAACTGACCTGTAATCTTTAAAGGTCTCAAGATCATGAAAGTTGAAAACTGAACAACTACTCCAAATGAAAGTTCAAGAAACATAGCAACTAAATGCAGTCTGTTGTTCTCAATTGGATTCTTTTGCTCTCAAGTACATCATTGTGACAAGTGGCAAATCCTGAATAGGGTCTGAGGATCAGATTGGACCAATGAGCCCATTTTCTCGTTTTGATGGCTGTACTGTAGTTATGTGGGAGAATGCCATTCTAAGATACATGCGCTAAAGTATTTGGGGTCACGGGGCATCAGGTTACAAATAATCTCAGATGATTAGGGGAAAAAAAGAGGAAAAATTCTTTTTATTGTACCTGCAACTTTTGGTAAATTAGAAACTGCTTCCAAAAAATTTTTTAAAGATTTTATTTATTTATTTGGCAGAGAGAGAGAGAGCAAGAGAAAGCACAGCAGAGGGAAAGGCAGAGGAAAAGGGAGAAGCAGGCTCCCCGCTGAGCAGGGAGCTGGATGTGGGTCTCAATCCCAGAACCCTGAGATCATAACCTGAGTCAAAGGCAGACACTTTAACTGACAAAGCTACTCAGGTGCCCCATAAATGCTTCCAAAAATTTTTAAATAACTTTTAAAACTATCCAATACTTTATCTTGTAAATACTATATCTAATAAAATAATGAGAACAAACTATTAACATGTCAGTACCAATCAATGTGGTTGTGATACAAAAAGAATTCTTAATTATTCAAGGCCAAAAGTAAAGGTACCCTATGAAGGCCCAACTGGGAAAGCTAGCTAAATACTGTTTCTTGCTTACTCTTTTGTCTAAAGATGACTATGGGACCACTCAAGATATGCCATAGCTTCATTTAACATGGATGAGTATCTCAAAATGTTGAGCAAAAGTAGACAGATAAAAAAAGAATGCATACTGTATGTTTCCCTTTAGATAAAAGTTCAAGAACAGGCAAAACTAACCTTTAATGTTAGAAGCAAAGATAGTGATTATCTCTGAGGAGGGAAGAAGAGGTAGGAACTGGGAGGAAGCATGAAGTGGGCTCCTTGGATGTTAGTAATTTTCTACTTTTTGACTTGGATTATATTTACACAGCTGTTTTCATTTTGTGATAATTCACTGTGGTGCATATGTATGGTTTATGTGCTTTTCTCTTTTTTTAAAGTAGGCTCCACACCCAGTGTGGAGCCCAATGTGGAGCTTGAACTCATGACTCTGAGATCAAGACCTAAGCTGAAATCAAGAGTCCAATGCTTAACCAACTGAGCGCCACCCAGGCACCTCTTGTGTTTTTCTATATGTATGCTACACTTTGATCAAAAAAATCAAGAAGAAAGTAAAAGAAAAACAAACCTAACTAGGTTATTTCTCCTAATTAAAGACTCTGCCTCCCCATTAAGAACGTTTCACCAAAAAGTAGCTCTTTTCTATGTGGAAAAGACATCCTCGTTGATAAATCAATCAGTATAAAGACATAAAACAATGGTGAAGGACACCCACTCACCCAGCCATCTGTCAAACCAAACCTGGCCATCAACAGAATAATAGCTGTTCTGCCAGATCAACCTTCAAACTTCATATTCTTTAATATATGACTTTAACATATGATGCAAACCTAAAGCAGTTTTGGTTAGCAGTCTCCATACACAAGCCATAGTTTATGATCTTGGAATTAGTAAGATTACAATGTATTTTTAAGTCCATGAACATTTGCTCAGCAGCGGGAAGAAGAGAACTAAAATTAACTGATCCCTTTCAGCTATCAGGCATTTAACATGTGCTCCCCACCCCCCCTTTTTTTAACTCACAAAATTCCTCTGGGGCAGATAATATACCTGCTTAACAGAAGAGAAAACTCAAGTTCAAAAAGGTTAAGTAACTTGCCAAGAACATAGCTGGTAAATGATACATCTTATGTTTCTTCATCTATAAAATGAAAATTCATGATAATGCCTTCCTTCACAGGGTTTTTGTAAGAATTGAGTCGATATTGGTAAAAGGATTAGAACAGTGGCCAGTAGACAGAAAGTACTCAATAAAACTGGCTATTATTTAAGAGGTAGTTGTAACATAGTGCTTATGAACATATGCTCTGGAGCCAGACCTCATGATTCTTTATTTGCAAAATTTTATGATCTCATTCATTTTAGCTCTCAGGGACCATTTTTCCCTAGTACAATCGTACTGTAAAAATAAAGAAAAAATAACCAGTATATATAGAAACACATTGGTGTGTACTGTCTTTTGAGTCAACTGAGAGCTAGTGGACAGATCTGTAACCATTTTCAGAACTGTGACAATCTCTTCCTCATCAAAAAAAAAAAAAAAAAAAGATTGAAAAATACATGAAAGAATTTGAGATTTGAGAGTTTCATGACTGTTTGAAGTAGAAATTACATTGGGTTGGTCAGCTGCACGTGAGACAAGTAAGTTACGGGCAAGGCAGAAGACTGTACTCTGAGAAGCTTCTCTGTGCCAGCTCCCTTCGCTATCTTATGACCCAGAACCTACCTCTTCCCATGCTCTAAACATCCACTGGATGAGTTATCTAGTCCCCTGCTCAAAGATAAGCTGCTATTTCCTAGGCAGTGCTGGGTCCTGGCTACATAAAGACCAACTGTATTAGTTCATTCGAATAATTTACAAAAAGTAAATGATCCCCCCAGAAATTATTTGTACTTTAAAAGAATATTTATTCAAATAACTTACTGTTATCACTAATATCACCTAACATATTTTTATATAAGTACTTTAATAGAGAGTATTTCATTTTATCCTCATAAAAATCATCTGAGGTAAGTACTCTTGGCTGCCCCCCCCACACTTTAGAAATGAGGAAATTGAAGTACATAAAACTACATACAGAGCTTGTAAGTGGCAGAGCTAAGGTATTTTAATATTAAGTCCTCTGCTCATTCTACCATATATACATAGGATATATATGTATATATTCATATATGTGTATGTGTATATATGTATATACATATATGGGGTGTATATATATATATTCTACCATATATACATATGGTACATGGTATATATACATCATATATACCATGTATATTGAATATACAGATATTCAATTATCCGGCATCCACTTCTTAGTCACTATGTCACAGTTCACCACAGGCACATGGCCAAACAATAACAAAACCTGGCACCAGAAATTTGGAATTGCACTCTAAAAGATTACTAAGCTCTGCCTAACCAGTTAATTTTTCTGAGTAATTTCTAAGAAAATTATGATATTTAAGAAGAAAAAAGTTTAAAATACAATAAACTTAATGTGTAACAGATTTGTTTTAAAAGGACCATGCAAAAACTTTTAGAAAATAAATCATTCTGTGTTTGGCACTCATAAATGAATATAAAAATAACTTCTTCAATTGACCCTTTTAAAAGTTATAATTACTATTTTTAAGAATATCATAAAGATAGAGAAGACAAATCTAAATGAATATTCTAGGTAGTACTTTACTTTCTCCTATCTTGGGCTACCTACAGATCTAGCCTCCAAAAAATAGTACTTAAAGAAATAAGTTGTAAAGCAAACTTAAAAGTGCATATGTAGAAAAGATGCCTAAAAAGAATCCTTTCCAAGTAATTTATTAAACTTTCAATAACTATGCTACTTACAAACTTTGAAATAAACAATAGCATCCACTTGAAAGAAAGCATCTTTGTTACCCTATGTTCCACATATGGAGGAAAACAAGAATACTGTTATTTTCCTTCCTGTGCTTACAGATAATTTCTTAGATATATTAGCATTACTAGTAGTAGTAAAAGCTTAAACCACACTTTAAGCTTCAAATTTATGAACATGATGTAACAACAATAACAAAACTGTAATCTCATCCCTAAATATTTTCTCAGAAAAACCTAAAGGACTAAAAAAGGACTATATAAAATAGAGGACTATAAAAGGTACCATATTTAAATATATATTTTCTTCTACACTTTCTTTAGAAATAGTTCCCCAAACACTTCTTTATTCTTACACTTTATGATCTACTTTGAAATGGCTGCAGGCACAGATTCCCACAGGATTCAAGGACATCAGTGGTTAAGTTGTGGCAACTGCAGGTTACTTACTAGGCGAGATGTGTTCCCCCTGACTTTACCTCATGCAGGGACCGTGTACTGACCCCTCTCCCCTCTGTAAGCCCCTCTGTTGTCACTTCCTTTGGGCACCAGGGATTCAAGACATTCAACTGCTGGAGAGATGTCAGTGACAAGCCTGAACTAAAACAGCTTGTCTCTTGTTTTTTCCCTACTCAGAAGATATTTGCTATCTACATCTAAATCAGAAGAAGCCTAAAATCTAAAACTTAGAAAAACATACTAAATGTTAACACAATTTTAAATGGTCACCTTCTTCTACATTCTGTCTCAAACACATACTGAATCCCTTGAAGAAAAGAGTAAAACAAAGAAAATGTGCTAAAAATCTACAGAATCTGTTCCTTTTAAACAAACTGTTTTCCAGGGGCACCTGGGTGGCTCAGTCAGTTAAGCATCTGCCTTCAGCTCAGGTCATGATCCCAGGGTCCTGGGTAGGCTGCTTGCCCCTCCCCCTGCTCATGTTCTCTCTCTCTCAAATAATTGAATAGAATCTTAAAAAAAAAAAAAAAAGTAACTGCTTCCCAGCCTTAGATATATTATCACTTTCTTACATGTAGACAAAATCTTAGTATAAATGGAAGGTTTCTAAAAGGGAAACCAGACACTCTTGCCTCCTTCCCTTCACATTCAATTAAAAAATAGATCAAAGAAAAATTAAAGTAAATATGATTTCTTTAATGAAATATAAATAGCTTTACTACTCTTTTAAATAACCTTTTAAGTAATCATTTACATAAATATTAAAAGCAATCCTTTATATAAAGATAACTAAAGGTGAATGGCTCATGAAAGACCTGTAGTTAAGGCTTCTGACTATCCTGACTATTCTTAAGTTCATATGGATGCCAGACTCCTATTGCTACATACACAAAACCTGAGAGAAATGTTACAAAAAATTAAAAAACATAAAATTATTTATTAAGCTTTCATACCTTCTATTTCTCTTCACTTTGATTTTAATGAAGTTTTACATTTTCTGCAATTAGAAAAAGAGAAAGAAGGAAACAAAAACACTCCTAAGGAAGAGTGAGAAGACATAACTAAAAATGAATGAAGGTTTTCTGGTCAGACTGAAGTTTGTACTAAGGAAGAGACTACCACATACTATGTTAGCCTCAAAAGGCCATATCCAAATTTCTAGAATAAATTTTCAGCTGCTAGCCTACCTCACACCATTTCTATGTGGAAAAATATTAAAAGATGTACCTTTTCTTTTTTTAATTTATATTTTTTTAAGATTTTATTTGTTTGACAGAGAGAGAGAGAGAGAGAGAGAGAGATCATAAGTAGGCAGAGCAGCAGGCAGAGAGAGAAGGAGAAGCAGGCTCCCTGCTGAGCAGACTGCCTGATTCAGGGCTTGATCCCAGGACCCTGAGATTATGACTTAAGCCGAAGGTAGAGGCTTAACCCACTGAGCCACCCAGGTGCCCCTTTTTCTTTTCTTTTTTTTTTTTTAAAGTAAAAAGCCCACTCACCAGATGTCTGAGCTCTTTCAAATCTCGGCAGACAGTGTAGAAAACTCCAAGAAGAATATTAATGTAAGCAGCATAGAAATCAGCTGAATACTCTGGAGGATGATCATGTGACAGGATCTTTTGAAGGTTCCCTGTTCAAAGGACACACATGAACTTAAGGATTAACCCAACACCCCAGAAGTTATATCTTCCAGGATTTTATAACAAGGGTATAAAACAATAAATATACAGGCCCGGCAATTATTAAGGAATAAGAAACCTGTTACAAAATTAGAAAAGTAACACAACTTTTGAAACTGAAGTAAAAAAATTACAAATCTAATGTTCTAAAAACATTACTAAAAATTGCTTAAGACAAATATTAAACAATGACATCTAAATAAAAACTCAAGAACCTCTACAGGCAAAATCAGTATCAAGGATGAAAAAAGCATATATATCTTATTAATTTTTCTGCCTAATAAGTAAACTAACTAGAAAAAGCAAGGAGGGGTACTACATAAATGACCACCAAACTGGAAAATGCTCTTCATTTTCTGAAAAATAAAAAGAATTCCTAAGTTTTTACGAAAATCATCATCTTTACTTCATCATTTTCCCTTTTATAAATCATGTTTTCTTCCCAAAGCTTTGGTTATCTTTACTGTATTTCTCTTCTACCTTAAACTCTTCATATAGTATCACAGGTTTAGAATCCTAAACTTTATTTTATCCTGCTGGAAATATCATACTGTAAAAGCACAGTTAAAATTAAAAGAGAAACAATCACCCAGTATTCAAAAATCAATGACTCGAAATCAATGAGTCATTCATTCCTTACTGCAATTCCCTCTGGCTCCCTGGTGCAATGGTCTCTTTAGACTCCTTCGTTAGGAGTTCTTTACCAGTTTCACAGGTTCAGGATTTTTGCAATACTTCCAAGCAAAAACTCTTAGAGGATGTTCCGATCAAGTCAATTTCCTTTTGTCTAAGATTCCCTTTAAGAGGTGAGTTATTTTCACCATGGATACTACGCCATTTACCATCAGCTCCTGAATCTACCACTCTCTCATTCCTCACAGATATAGATATACCAAGACTGAACAATACATATGGCCTATCACTGGATATATATTAAGAGAAACTTATAGGGGCGCCTGGGTGGCTCAGTGGGTTTAAGGCCTCTGCCTTCGGCTCAGGTCATGGTCCCAGGGTCCTGGGATCGAGCCCCGCATCGGGCTCTCTACTCAGTGGGGAGCCTGCTTCCCTTCCTCTCTCTCTGCCTGCCTCTCTGCCTACCTGTGATCTCTGTCAAATACATAAATAAAATCTTAAAAAAAAAAAAAAAAAAAGAGAGAAACTTATATATAGTTATATACCAAGGCCTCTTTTTGAGAGGGCTGATGACTGAAAAAAAAAAAAAAAAAAAAAACCTAGTGCATTTCAAAGCCCAGGCACATGCCTGGAATATTATCCTGAACAGATTCTGTATGGGAGGCTGTTACTAGTTCTGCATCTTTTATATCACAACCACTAAATAAAAAACACAAAGTCCAACTTAGCTTTGGAGTCCATGTAAATAGCCCTGAAAGAGTCAGATAAATCTTCAAAAAATTTAGGTGCTTCCTAGAAAAATGTCCAATATACAACAAAAAACAGAGTATCTATTATTCAATCAAAAATTACTAAATACATAAAGTAGCATAATGAATACCATAATAGATAAAATTAGTCAATAGAAACAAATCCAAAATGAAAGAGGTCATGGAAATCAATAGACAAGGACATTAAAACAACTATTATAAACATACTCATAAGGTCAAAACTACTAGGGAAAACAAAAGCATAGTAGGATCTGTAATGATAAATTCCACTGGATGGGATTAACAGCAGGTTAAACACAGAAAAAAAAAAGTCAGTGAACTTAAAGACAGAGAGAAAGAACTATCCCTGATAACACACAGAGAAGAAAGATATAAAATTTAAATAAGTAAACAGATTCAATGAGACAATATCATATGGTCTAACATAACATGTAATGAAGTCCCAGGAAAAGGCAAGGAAAAGGGGCACAGGAAACAAAGATAAAATATTTGAAAAAATAAGGGCTGAAAATTTTCCAAAGTTGCTAAAACTATACAATCCATACATCCAAGAAGCTCAAGCCAGATAAACAATAAAAGATTTTTTTATTAAAAAATTAAAAAGCCCAAATAATAATTTAATATGGGTTTATAACAGAGGCACCTGGGTGGCTCAGTCAGTTAAGTGTCCAACTCTTCATTTCAGCTCAGGTCATGATCTCAGGGTCATGAGTTCAAGCCCTAAATTGGGCTCTGTGCTCGGCACATAGTCTGCTTGAGATTCTCTCTCTCCCTCTCCTTTTGCCACCCCCTTTCTCTCTCAAATAAAATCTTTTTAAAAAATGTGTGGTTTATAATAAATGTAAAAATAAAACACGGGACAAATACAGCACAAAAGTTGTGAGACGGGAAACTATAAGTCACTGAGGTATTTAGATTATTTATTGGAGCATAACTTTTCCTGAATGATACAATAACTAAACCAAACCAAAAAGCTGATGAAGTACATTGTAAATCCACCAGGGTTAAAGAAAAAAATGCTTTACCAAAAGAGGAGTAGTCTGCATGTGATAGAGATCAGAAACAAGAATTCCAAACTGGGCCCCCAGTGGTCACTGCTAAGAGAGCAGGGATCCTGAACATGAAATACCATATTCTTATAGATGGTGTATATATCATGTTATGATTGGATGACATTAGCCACTAAGATTATCCCTTTACTCTGGTTCCGTGCTTACCTAACTACAATTTGGTTATCAATTAATGTTTCCTTTTTGAATGCCTTTCTATGGGATTATGGTGTTTTGTTTTTTTAAAAAATCTTGGTATGTAGAAGGCCCTGAATTAAATCATCAGATTAAACGTGGCTCCATTATTATATACTTTTCAAAAACCTAGTAGTCTATACTCTCTGAAACTGGCAAGATCACTTTTATTATTTAAATATGTCCCCAAATTTTCTCCATCTACGATGCTTTGTATCTTTACTTTCTAAAATTTTAAATCAAATTCTACAATTATATCATACTGTAATGCCACTAATATATAGAAAATCACTTTAAAAAAAAATAATTTCCTTAAATTCTAAATAGTTTTTCAGTACTTAAACCCTAAATGGGTCATGAAAAAACTCTAAACAGTGATGACAAAGGTACAAAGGAATTTTTTTAATGAGATCCTTTGATTTATTCCTTTTCTTCCTACCCTTTTCTCTTCTTCCTATTTTGCAATTTTCATGGATGAGAAGCTATTGAAAATAAGGGCTCCCTTCATCTATTTTAGGTACCTTTCTTCTATTTCAGTTAATTGGCTAAGGCAAGGTGTCATTTGATTGCTCTTCCCGTGTAAATACGCAAAAATGTGTTTATCCTAACAATGAATGTTTACAGCTGATTAGTTCAGAGGGCTAGTGTTAATGAGGCCAAGGTCAAGGAATGCATTTTTTCATAGCCTGCTAACCACTTTAGGCTTCACACTTAAACTCTGAATCAGAAGCATCGTATTTGTATAGTGACAACACAATATTCAGCAACACAAAAGGCTCCAGTGTTCTTCCAAAGACAAAAATAATCAAGATCTATGAAATTTAAATATTAAATACATTTAACATTAAAATGTTAAACATAAATGTTAAATACACACACAAAACACCACTGTAAAATCAATCAATTTAAAATCAAACCAAAAAAAAATAAGAAACACAAGGCCTAACAATTGGTACTATAAGATGAACACTAATGAAAGATAAAATGAGGGGCGCCTGGGTGGCTCGGTGGGTTAAAGCCTCTGCCTTTGGCTCAGGTCATGATTCCAGGGTCCTGGAATGGAGCCCCACATCCGGCTCTCTGCTCAGCAGGGAGCCTGCTTCCCTTTCTCTCTCTCTGCCTGCCTCTCTGCCTACTTGTGATCTCTGTCAAATAAATAAAAAAATCTTAAAAAAAAAAAAAATAAATGAGATTTACAAAGTTAAAAGATACATACATAACACAAATAAATGGTAAATAAAAACTTCCATACAATTTAAATGTGCTTTGCCAACCCAGTCTGGCTCTTACTTGTATGGATGTCAACATCACAATATATACATCTTACTATACTCACTAAAAAATATGAAAATACACCATTAGCACAAATATGTGAAGAATATTCATTCAAAAAATTTTAGTAACTATATGAGAATAACCCCTCACAGTTCCAAAATAAAACCTCTGTAACTGCAGATACATAACATTTTGAGATTGGCAGCAAATCTGAAGAAATTAAGACATCAAAGTATTTCATTTGAATATACTAGCTTAATCTTTCAAACAACAAAAATTATTTTAGTGAATATCATTTGTCAAAATGAAGTTTTAAAATTTACCTATGCTATAATCAGGGAAATACAAGACAAATGGCTCAAAGCACCCAGTATTTGGACGAAACTTTTCCCAAACAATTTCACTGAGAAACAGAACAGTCACATTTCTGTCAGTCTGTAAAAGAAAGAGAAATAGAAGTAACTCTGCATTTAAAAATCTTAATCAGAGCAACAATTTCATTTGAATTTTTCTTTCAAATAAACCCAGGAAAGTTACAAACATATAACGAGTTATTTGCATATTAATAAGCCTTATTTATAAAACCTAATCAAGGAGCTCATCCACTTGCAAATTTTCATACATAATTACTTAGAATTTCCATAAAACTTTCAGGTTCACTGACATTTCAGTTATCCATGAATGCTAAGACAGTCAGACAGTTTATTTTACAGAAATTAAGAAACACATTTGCTTAATAATTAAGACAAGATCCTTTTATGGGACTTTTCAAAGAAATCATTAACTTTCAATCAAACAAAAAAATGTACATCTCTCATCACTAAAATAGCTACAGGAACCCAGAGAGGAAATAAGAAAAATAGATATGCTGTACTTATAACCAATATTAGGAAACTTTTTTAAAGACTATTTTCACACTAACTAGTCAACATGTTGAGTATACATTAAAAATGTTAAATACACACACAATACACCACTATAAAGTTAACAGTCATCTTCTGAGCTATATTTGGAAGGTATTATCAGTATACCAAAATGAACACTTCAGAAAACAAGCTCAACATGTATACTGTCCTACAGAGTGGCCGCAAATGCCTTATGATGCCAATTCAAATTTGTCTGTAGACACACCTCTGCATTTTCAACACAGATTTTAATTTTTCCCCACTTTTTTATTATTAACATATAATGTATTATTTGCTTCAGGGGTACAGGTCTGTGATTCATCAGTCTTACACAATACACAGCACTCACCACAACACATACCCACATTTTTTTTGATATCTCCCAAGGTGACAGAACAGACATGATAGCTGTTTTGTTCGTAGCTATTCTTAGGATCCAAACATGTAAATTACACTACACTTTGATGGTGATTTACTATTTATTAATTCCTAACTTATATGTAATCTTATGTTTCAATTTTCATTACTTAAAAAAACATTCTTTGGGTAACAAAGACAGCTGAGTTCAATATATTAATAATTCCACAAAAATCTAGCTTCTTTATGAAAAAGAGGAAGAGATTTTTACTTTCAAATGCTTTTTGTCTCCTTGAATTTATTTCTATAGGGATAAAGAAGTATGTTCTAAATACAATCTTGAACTTATTAAACTCAACAACCAAAGAACAAATAATCCAATCAAGAAATGGGCAGAAGACATGAACAGACAGTTCTGCAAAGAAGACATCCAAAAGGCCAACAGATACATGAAAAAGTGCTCCACATCACTCAGCATTAGGAAAATACAAATTCAAATCACAGTGAGATACCACCTTACACCAGTCAGAATGGCTAAAATTAGCCAGTCAGGAAAAAACAGATGTTGGCGAGGATGCGGAGACAGGGGAACCCTCCTACACTCTGGAGGGAACCCAAGCTCGAGCAGCCACTCTGGAAAACAGCATGGAGGTTCCTCAAAAAGTTGAAAATAGAGCTACCTTATGACCCAGCAATCACACTATTGGGTATTTACCCTAAAGATACAAATGTAGTGATCTGAAGGGGCACGCGTACCCCAGTGTTTACAGCAACAATGTCCACAATAGCCAAACTATGGAAAGAGCCTAGATGTCCATCAACAGATGAAGAGATAAAGAAGATGAGGGGTGTGTATGTGTGTGTGTGTGTGTGTGTGTGTGTATAAAATGAAATACTATGCAGTCATCAAAAAAAGAAATCTTGCCATTTGCAACGATGTGGATGGAACTAGAGGGTATTATGCTAAGGGAAATAAGTCAATCAGAGAAAGACAATTACCATACAATCTGTCTGATATGAGGAATTTGAGAGGCAGGGCAGGGGGTCATGGAGATAGGGAGAGAAAAATGAAACAGGATGGGATCAGGAGGGAGACAAACCATAAGAGACTCTTAAACTCAAGAAACAAACTGAGGGTTGCTGGGGAGTGAGGGAAAGGGATAGGGTGGCTGGGTTATGGACCCTGGGGAGGGTACGTGCTATGGTCAGTGCTGTGAATTGCGTAAGACTGATGATTCACAGACCTGTACCCCTGAAGCAAATAATACATTATATGTTAATAAAAAAAATTAATTTAAAAAAAAAATCTTGATCAGACAGCATTGATCATTTATAAGCATTTGATAAAATCAGTTCAAAAATAGGTATAAAAAAGAGAAGATATTTATCTGAAAGAATTTTAAGTTGGTACTGTTCTTATCTGATCTTACCTTCAATATACAATGATACTTAGCAAATAAATATTAATCAAATATTTAATTCATTTTAATCAAATAAATATTTTTTAATCAAATAAATATTTACTATAAAAAACAAGAAATGCTGGGGTGCCTGGGTGGCTCAGCCAGTTAAGCATCTGACTTCAGCTCAGGTCATAATCTCAGGTCCTGGGATCAAGCCCTGAGCCCCGCCCCGTGTTGGGCTCCCCACTCAGTGGAGATCCTGCTTCTCTCTGTCCCTCTATCCCTCCCCTAACTCGTGCACACAGAAGCATGCACTCTCTCTCCTTCAAATAACTAAATCTTTTTTTTTTAAGATTTTATTTATTTATTTGACATAAAGAGAGACACGGCGAGAGAAGGAACACAAGCAAGGGGAGTGGGAAAGGGAGAAGCAGGGTTCCCGCTGAGCAGGGAGCCCAATGTGGGGCTCAATCCCAAGACCCTGGGATCTTGACCCGAGCCAAAGGCTGACACTTAATGACTGAGCCACCAGACGCCCCTCAAATAAGCAAAATCTTAAAAAAAAAACAAAAACAAAAACAAAAAAACAAACAAACAGAAAAAAACCATGAAATGCCTTTATTGGATTTCTCCTAAATGAAATACATTTTTAAAAATCAAGCAATTTAAAATCAAAACAATTCTCTTTTCTGGTAGAGTTGAGATTACTATGAATCTTTTCATTTTCTTCAGTTTCCATAATTACAACTAAAAAAAAAGTGAAAAGCCTAACTACTATGAAGGGACACATGATCACCATTACTAGGCATGAGGGGGAAAAAGTGAGGTAAGCTTTAGTGGAAGAGCAAGAGGACAGCAAGAATGCACTCTGACACCAGACAGGGAATCCTAGAGCAAAGGGTATGAAAGTATGTGGATGAAGGTATGCACAAAAAAAACACAAATGCAACACAAGAACACAAAACAAGAGGGATGTCTGGGTGGCTCAGTCGGTTAAGCATCTGACTCTTGGTTCTGGCTCAGGTCAAGATCTCAGGAGTCCTGAGACAGGACTGAGACTAAAGCTCCATGCTCAGCAGGGAGTCTGCTTCAAGATTCTCTCCCTTTGCCTCTCCCCCCCACTCATGAGCACACACACGTGCAGAGCATGCTCTCTCTCTCTCTAAAATGAATAAATCTAAAAAAAGAGAGAGAGAAAACGAAAAAAGAAATGAAGAAGGAGGCACCTACCCTAAAAAGATGGGTTCCTGGCCTCAGTGGTAAAATGCCAAGAGTAGCAAAGACTAGACTATGTGAGGAAATTTCCAAGACGGCTACCAAAAGCTATAACCGTCTTTCCTCCTGTTCTCTCACAGCTCACCCCCGCCCAATACTATTACTAAAAGTGAATTTTAGGAATTGATCTTAGGCACACAATGATTTCAACAGCACTTGGAAAGCCTCTGTGAACTTCTAAAAGTTTCTCAAATTTCAATAATATGTTCAGTAAATGTTAACTTTTTCAATGGTAGAAATGCTATAAGCACTGTCTCTCCAAATATTAATTTTCTTTATAATATTACTTAATACTTAACACAGACATAAACCTAGTTTTATAACTAGGTAGGTATAAATTATGCTCAAAATACTTATAGGATTATAAAACAAAAACAAAAGTAAGCCTGTAAGTTAAATACAAAACTATAAAATTTAAATTAACAGTAACTGAATATGATTAACAATACTGTTTTGATCAAACTAAATATTTGCTCACTTGTGATTACGGTACAAATAGGAAATAGCCACAGTTCTTTTGAGTTTAGCATTCCTATACCAATTGGTATTGGTGAACAATGAATTCTCTCTCCAGTTATCTTTATTCAAACTTCTGCAAAACCCTGATTTGCCATATTACTATTATTTGGCTTTGACCTGATACATATGCATATTAAATCCATCCCTACTCTTTTCTCATTAGTCCATGGCAATTAGAGTAGTATTAATACTATTCAGTGCCAACACAATTATAAATTGAAATACAAAGCCAGTTTTGACACTGACTGGCCATGAAGTAGAACTCCAGAGACCCAGAACGGACATACCATTCTTTTTCTAGATTACTGAAAAGAAAATTTAAAAATTCTTCAGAAAGTCTGAAGTTTAGGCCCCCACCATTTACTCCAGCAAACACCTAAAACCTTTAAAGAAAGCAGGATTACTCACTTCACAATTAGAAATAAAAAGCAAAACTAAAGAATAAATGTTACCAAGTCACAAACTGCTTTTACTTAGGAAAAATTGCTCAACAACATTCGTAATAGAGAAATAAAAATTAAAATTATGTTAAGATTCATTTCTCTTCTGTCTGATTGACAAAATGATAAAATTTGACAAAGATAATCTCATAGGGTGAAAAGACTCTCTCATACATAACTTACCAGTTCTTGTAATCTAAGAAACCCAGGCAAAAGATTTGCTTCCATATCTCTTAGATATTCTGCTTTATCTAGAACCTTAAAAAAAAAAGTGTCAAAATCAATTTACAAAGCTTTCTACAAAATGTTAGCATTATATAATGCACAATTCAAGGCTTGCATTTTCCATGTTCAAAAGAAAAATTGTAACCTGTGAATTAATTTTTAACTGGTATTTATTTTGTAGAAGACATTTCAAACAGGTCAAATTAGTAAATTACTTGGGCGCCTGGGTGGTTCAGTAGGTTAAAGCCTCTGTCTTCGGCTCAGGTCATGATCCCAGAGTCCTGGGATCAAGCCCCACATCAGGCTCTCTGCTCAGCAGGAAGCCTGCTTCCTCCTCTCTCTCTGCCTGCTTCTCTGCCTACTTGTGATATCCATCGGTCAAATAAATAAATAAAATCTTTTAAAAAAATTAAAAATTAAAAAAAAAAGATTACTTACAATGTATTTTAACCTAAATTTCTAAATAGAAAATCACAAGTACATTAAAAAGGTTTCTTTTCTAGGTATTCTATCAATGCTCTAAGGATATCTTACTAGGTATACAAGAAAAATAATTGGATGCATTTTTTTATACCATTTGATGAAAGAAAAGTTAAATTTTTGTACAGTTATAAAACCACTGGTATTATGTTATTTTAAAAGATACTTCTCTATACGTTATTTTAAAAGATAATTCTCTTTCACAGATATACAGTATATATACATCTATACAGATACAGCATATATACTCATGGGTAACATATATATGAGGTATATAGATATATAGAGAGAATGTATGTATGTTATTATGGATAATATAATATGATGCAGGGAACAGTGTACAAGGTAAAGATGACACAAGTTTGACCATGTTAAGAATAACTGAAGCAGGGTGATGAGTTCATTGGAGTACATTACCTCTTTCTGTGTTTGAAGTCTTGATAAAAAAAAAAAAAAAGGTTAAAAAAAAGGGGGGGGCTTCAAGAGGTCATCCATTAGTCCATAACAATAAAATCAAGGTCTTCATAACCTAACCCTTATTTTTACTTTTTGTTATGGAAATTTTAAAATATACAGAAAAACAGGGAGATCAGTAACTCCCACACATATATTTCATCCAACCCCAACAAACATTAACATATGGTCAAACTTATTTCTTCTAAACTCCTCCACTTTTCCCCTCCACTATCTCACTGGATTATATTAAAGCAAATCCCGGACATACCACTCTATCTATAAATATGTCAGTACGCAGCTCTGAGATGAAGACCCATTAAAAAAAAAAAAAACATAATCACAGTATCATTATCATGCCTAAAAAATTTAACAATATTTCTTAACATCATTATTACATGGTTATTACACTAAATTCAAATTTCCCCACTTGTCCCAAAAATGTCTCCTTAAGAGTTCATTTATTTGATTCAGGATCCAAAAAGGTTCATATGTTGAATCTTATTGTATTTGGTCTATCTTCTAGTCAATTTTAAATTACAGTATTTCCCCTGACCCTTCCTTTTTTGTTATGTATTTGTTGAAAACCAGTCATCCATTGCATAGAATTTCCCAAATCCTGAATTGGCTGACTGTTCTTATATACAGTATATTTCCTATAAAATAGTCAATAAATTAGAGGTATGATCAGATTCAGGTTCAAGTTTTGGTCAAGAATACTTCACAAATTGTGCTCTGTATTTCTTATTGAATCACATCAGCAGGTACACAACACCTGGCTATCTCTCTGTGATGTTAAGACTGATTGATAGGTTCAGGTATTGTCAGACTGATCCATCCATCAAAAAGCTCCCCAGCAGCCTTTCAACAAATAATTTCTGCATCAATTGATGATCATTGCCTACATCCAGAACTTTCTTAGGTATTGCAAAACTTAATTTTCTATGATCCCTTCTGCATTTGTTAGAAGACATTTTTCTAGAAAGAACATTGTTACTCAGAAATAAAGTTCACACAGGACAGAAGGGATAAATGCTTGATTCTTTCCTTTTATCTACTAATTTTCAGGGTAAGTTTGTGCCTCTTTTCATTTTCCGTGGTTGCTATAAAACATTACCACACAAACTTGGTAGCTTAGAAGAGACTAAAAATGTGTCTCATCACAGTTCTGGATGTCCTAAGTCTGAAATCAGTTTCATGGAGCCAAAATCAAGGTGTCCGCAGGGCCACACTCCCTCCAGCAGCTCTAAGGTAGGATCCATTCTCTGCTTTTTAATTTTTTTTGAATTTTAATTAATTTATTTATTTGAGAGAGAATGAGAGAACACAGTGGGGGGGAGGGTCAGAGGAAGAAGCAGACTCCCTGCTGAGCAGGGAGCCCAATACAGGACTCAATCCTGGGACTCAAGGATCATAATCTAAGCCAAAGGCAGTCTCTTAACCAACTGAGCCACCCAGGCACCCCTTTCTGCCTCTTTTGGCTGCTGGTGGCTGCCAGTACTCTTTGGCTTGTGGCTGCACCACTAGATAATTCAAGGCAAGTATCAAAATTTTAAGTTTCTCTTCTCTGCTTGCCTCTGCTTCCATCACCTAGCCTCCTCCTGTGTGTGTGGTTTAGTCAAATCCTCTCTTTGCTTCTCTCCTACACAAACATTTGTGGTTGTGTTTTGGGATCACCCAGATAAACCTGGTAATCTACCCTTCTCTAGACCCTTAATCACATTTGCAAAGGCCCTCTTTACAAATGAAGGGTCATTTACAGGTTCCAGGAACTTGGACCTAATATCCTCAGGGGCCATTATTCATCCTACTGTTGTGCCCTAGTAAATGAAACTCCCATGGTAACCAATAAACTGAGGTTTTGTGTTTTTTATATACTTGTTTAGTATCATTATAAATTCACGGGTTTTAACACATGTAATGTACCTCCATCTACTGAATTGGGTTTTTTTTGATAACCAAACTATACCATGTTTGGCCAGTGGAAGCCTCCTCAGACTAGTTGCTGGGTCCTTTTAATAACCACCCAGCTTTGAGATGTAACTAACTTATAACACTGCATAAGTATAAGGCACACAACTGTTGATTTGATACACTTATATACTGTAAAATGATTTCCATGATAGCTTTGGCTAACACCTCCAGCACCTCACATAATTATCACTTCTTTTTTGTGGTAAGAACATTTAAGATCTATTCTACTCTCTTAGCAACATTCAAGTATATATAACACAGTATAGCATAACTATAACCACTATGTTGTACAACAGATTCCCTAAAACTTGTTCATCTTATAATTAGAATAGCTTGTACTCTTTGACCAACATCTCTCCACTTCCCTTATCCCACAGCCTCTAGTAACCAACCATTTTCCTTTGTTTCCTTAAGTTTGGCTTTTTATATTCCACATATGATTAAGTGTCTCTGCCTGATTTCTTTCACTTAGCATAATGCCCTCAAGGTCCATCCATGTTGTCACAAATGGCAGGATTTCCCTCTCATGGCTGAATAATATTCCACTGTGTGTGTATGTATACATACACACACACACACACACACACACACACAGTCTTAACTATTGCGAATAAAACTGCAATGAATATGCGCAGATAGTTCTTTGACATCCTAATTTCATCTCCTTTTTTTTGTATCCAGAAGTGAGACTGCTGAATCACATGGTATTTCTATTTTTAATGTTTTAAGGAACCTCCACACTGTTTTTTTCATAGTGGCTATACCACTATGCACAAGGGTTCCCTTTTCTCCATATGCTTGGCAATACTTGTCTTTTGGATGATAGTCATTCTAACAAGCGTGAAGTGTATCTCATGGTTTTGGTTTGCATTATCTTGATGATTAGTGATGTTGAGCACCTTTTCATTTACGTGGCCATTTGCATGTCTTCTTTGGAGAAATGTCTATTCAGGTCCTCTGACCATTTTCTAACCAGATTTTTTTTTTTTTTTTTGCTATTGAGTTGCATGAGTTCTTTATATATTTTGGATATTAACCCCTTGTTCAGTAGATGACTACAACTATCTTCTTCCATCGTGTAGACTGCCTTTTCATTTGGGTGATTGTTTCTTTTGCTGTGCAGAAGTTTTTAGTTCAATGTAGTCCCACTTATTTTAATTTCTGCTTTTGTTGTTATGCTTTTTGGTATCATATTTAAAAAACCATTGCTGGGGCGCCTGGGTGTCTGAGACAGTTAAGCATCTGACTCTTGATATAGGCTCAGGTCATGATCTCAGGGTCAAGAGATTGAGCCCCACACTGGACTCCAAGCAAGTTGGGAGTGTGCTTGAGATTCTCTTTCTCCCCCCTCTCCCCCTCCATGTGTGCACACACACTCTATCAAATAAATCTTTAAAATAAATAAATAAATAAATAATAAAAACCTGTTGCCAAGACCAATGTCAAATAACATTTTCCCTATGTTTTCTTCTAGGAGTTTTTATGGTTTCAGTTAATTCTTTAATCTATTTCAAGTTAACTTTTATGAGTCGTGTAAAATAAGGGTCTAACTTCACTCTTTTGCATATGGCTATCCAGTTTTCCCATCACCATTTATTTGAAGACACTATCCTTTCCCCACTGAGCATTCTTGGTTTCCTTACCAAATATTAGTTGACCACATGTATATGGAAAGATTTATTTCTGTGCTCTCAATTTTGTTCCATTGGTTTATGCATCTACTTTTATGCCAGTACCATACTGTTTTACTATAGCTTTGCACTATAGTTTGAAATCAGGAAGTATAATGCCTCAAGCTGTTTTTCTTCTTTCTCAACATTGCTTCGGCTGTTCCGTCTTTTGTGATTCCATACATATTTTTGGATTGTTTTCTCTATTTCTGTGAAAAATTTCATTGGAATTTTGATAGGGATATAGATGGCTTTGGGTACTATGGACATTTTAACAATATTAATTCTTCCAAAACATGAGCTTCTGTATGTTTTTGAAATGACCCAAGTTGTAGTCGATAGCTCCCTAGCTTTCTATTATGGCAAAATGTTCTAGGTTCATCTTGTACATTTTCTTCTCAGAACTGAAATTAAAAAAAGCTCTTTTTTTTTTAACTTATACTTTGTTAATAAATCTTATTGGAAACTATAATCATTTAAATTAGGAATAAAATTAAAATGCAAAGAATATGATATTGTTTCCCTAAGTAGTCCAAATTGCTTTATGTTTTATTGATTAACAGACAGACTTAAACAATCTATGAGTAATCAGCTTAAGATATTTCACTCCTAATTAGACAAAATAAAGCTAAAATCATTTACTGCTAAAAAGATATAAATTACTTTCTCCACTATGCAATTATGCAATCTCCCCATCAATCTCCATTTAAGTAACCCTTTAATCCAGGACACAGATTAATTAAAATAATTGGCCCATTTTTATGCCCATTCTAATGCAAAAAACAAAGCTGAAGCAATAAATTAATAGTTCATTCTTCTAATTTAGTTAACCCACCATAATTAATGATTTTATGATATTCTAATAAATGATCCTTCTTCAAAAGAAATTATCAGATAACATTCAGAGAAGTAAAAATTTTAATTCAGATTCAAACATTTATCTCAATAATTTACACAAAGGCACTCTAATAGACTTAATTTACAAGCTGGTTTACTGACTAGAAAACATTCTCAGCTACCTTTCTGTAATTAAGTATTGAATCTTACCAATTCATATATATTACGTAGCTGACCTGCCTATAGATGTACTCTAAAAAACATCCCACACTAAACACCTTTCTCACACTTAATGTTTAATGCTTAGCCAACTAACAAGTACTTACTGAATACCTAACTTCTATCCAACAGATCTGAAAAATGAGTAGGGCCCTACTTACTCATCAAGGCTATTTATAGACTATTCATTTTCCCTCCTACCTAAAGACATTCAGCTTTGAAACTCTCCCTGTTGTCACCCACATATACTGAGGTCATTCCTCCTCATTCTTTAAATATTACAGTTTCTTACTAACACTTCCCTAATATAACTCCAATATTTTTGGATATTTCAAAACCCACATTAATGTCCCCCTTCTGATAAATTCCTTAAATTCCTCTCCACCAGTGATCCTGTTTCCTACCTTATCTCACTAAAAGCGTAAATTTATTACTTAGAACACTAGTTTTTGAGGTATAGTCTGTGGCCCCCTGGGGGGTGGGAAGGGTATCCCTGATATCCTTTCAAAAGGTTGGCAAAGTCAAAACTATTTTCATAATAATACTGAAACACTTTTTGCCCTTTTCACCATGTTGATATTTGCAATGATGGTGCAAGTAATAGTGGGTTAGAGTTGCCTTGGCATAAATCAAGGTAATGGTGCGGAACTATACTAAGAGTAGCTGTAGGGGCGCCAGGGTGGCTCAGTTGGTTAAGCAACTGCCTTTGCCTCAAGTCGTGATCCCGAAGTCCTGGGAGCAAGTCCTGCATCAGGCTCCCAGCTCCTTGGGGAGTCTGCTTCTCCCTCTGAACTTCTCCCCTCTCATGCTCTCTCTCAAATAAATAAATAAATAAATAAATAAATAAATAAATAAATAAAATCTTTTAAAAAAAATAGTAGCTGTATAAGAATACACTCATGCACATGTGTTTTAAAAGAAATAAGACTTCTACCTCCGAAGATGGGAATAGACGTATTTTTTCCTATTCCTTCTGCTAAGTAAAACTAAGAACCTTGAATATTATATATAAAACAAACAGGGCTCTGAAAGGTAGAAGACAGAACAGCTAGGGACCTTAAGAGCAGAGGAATGACAACTCACTTCAGAGGGCGTATTGCCTCAGCTGTCTTTTTGCCTCACACAGCATACGTGGGGCTGAGGAAATCAGCAACATAGAAAGGCTAATGAGCATAAATCAAAAAAGTCCCAACAAAACCCTGCTCTCCCTAATCAAAGGACCAAGAAAGGGGCAGGGTAGCAAGATTTCCAAAACACAGCACTTATTCAAATTTTCTTTATACATCATTGATTTCTTCTCTGTCCTCATTCATTCTTCTTCATCTCCTCATCCCATAACCAAGAAACTGCCACAAGGCTTAGGCACTTGGACTCACCTCTCTTCTAACTCACTCGCTCTCCTGGTGACCTAATGGTCTCATAGCTTTAAGAACTACTACCTCTATACTCTGAAATCCTATCTCCACAATGGGCCCCTCCTGACCTAAGACTGTAGTCTCCAAGTGCCAACTGAACTTCTGTACTTGGGTTTAACGTGCCCTGAACCAAACTCCTGATCCCTCCTTCCCTACCCAAGAAGACCTCCCACTGTAGTTTTCTCCACTAAGATAATGACAACTCCATCCTTTCAAGTGCACAAAAAGCTTCTGAGTTGCCCTTAACTTTGCTCTTTCTCTCCTCCTCTATAGTCAATCTATCAGAAATTCTGTCAAAATATACTGAGACCACTTCTTACCACATCTACTGCTACCACCCTGGCCTAAGCCAACATGATGTTTTGCCTAAATTATAATAAATGCCTCATAACTAGTTTTATTCGTTTCCTACAGCTGCCATAAAAAAGTCACACAAGCAGGGTGACTTAAACTACAGAAATGAATTATCATCTCACAGTTCCAGAAACTAGAAGTCCAATATCAAGGTGTTGGCAGGGCCATGCTTCCTCCAAAGGTGCTTGTGGCAGCATACTCCAATCTTTATGTGGTATCTTCCCTTTGTGCATATCTATACCCAAATTTCCTCTTTTTATAAGACACCAGTCATATTAAGTTAGGGGTCCAAACTACTCTAGTACAACTTCAACTTAATTAATTAGAACTGCAATGACCCCATTTCCAAATAGGGTCATTCCAAGGTACAAGGGGTTAGAACTTCAACATATGAATTCTTGGACAAAATAATTCAACCTGTAATATTAGCCTGCATGCTTCTATCCTCGCACTCATCATTTGATTCTCAACATTACTACTCTCCCCCGTACTTGAACTATTCCAGCCACAATGGCCTCCTTTGTATTCTTTGAATATACAAAGTATGTTCCAGTGTATGTAGTCTTATGTAAATCTCTTTACCTGGAATACTCTTTTTTCACCTATCTTCGTAGCTTGCTCAATTCCTTCCTTGCTCCTCAGATCTCAGCTCAGTCATCATTATCTCAGTGAGATATTCTCTCTCTTCTCTATTTTAGAAAAGTAACTACTCTCCCCCACCCAAGTGATTCTTCCTTACTCTATTAACATAAATGACATCCTACATACTAACTTGTTTTTATCAATCTTCCTCAACTACACTATAAACTACAGGAGGGCAGAGACTCTATATTGTTCCATGTTCTATCTCCAGTATCTAAAATAGTGTCTGGCATATAGAAGTGCCCAAGAGTTATTTGCTGAATAAATAAATGAATGAAACTAAAATGTGGAAGGAACTGTTTTACACATATCAGGAGATGCAAGAATGCATAAGATCTCGTCCCTTCAGTAAGTTTACAACTTAGCTGTTATAATAAGGCATTCTATTAAAATTTAATTCCAATTCCAGAGATAATAATTTTTTTTTAAAAAACGGCTAAAGTATTATAAACAAATCCACTAAAAAAAAAACATTACACATTTTCAGTTGTCTGATAATCATTTTCACATTGATGTAACAACTACAATTCAGACTTAGCCACCCCAAAATCAAATGATTCATCTTCCCCCACAAACCTCTACTCCATGCACAATTGAAAAATTTGACCTTCATGGTCTTTTCCATTCCTCTCTGCATCGCCCGCTCCAAGTCTAGCCCAGGCCCAAATTTCCTCTAATTTAAACAGCAATAAGACCCTGAAAGCCAACTTTAAGACTTTGGTCTGTCACCATCAGCCCCCAATCCATCTATTTAATATGATTTACAGAATAATCTTCCTAAAACAGATTTGTTGCTCTAAAATCTTCCCTACCTCCTCACTGCCTAGAAAATGACGTTAGTAAAGTTTCACGTTAGTAGAGTTTTCAAATACTCCATGATTTGCCTCACTTACCTTCCTAGATTTTTTCTCCTCTCATCCACTGTTACTCACTAATACTGGACTATTTGCATTCCCTGGCCTCCAATGCATCTGCATGACTTCCTTACATAATTCCTACCATCTGAAATCCCCTTCTTCAGTTTCCTCCTATAATCCTTTAATCATCCTTTTAAGTCTATCTCAAATGTTATCACCTCATGAAGCTGTACCACACATGCCTAAGTTTGTGTTTTGCATTTCATGGTTATCACTCATCATACACCGCACACAGTCACATGTAGTACATGTCGAAACTCTTCCATTAAACTGAAGTTCCTTTTGGTTAAGAAATACATCTAAAACATATTTTGTATCCCAAAAGTACCTTTGTATAGTGCAATACACATAATGAGACTTGAAACAAATATATAGAAATTGACCTAATAAGCAGTTTCCAAATAGACGGTATAATGAAATTAAATTACTCACAATATATACAGTCTGATCCTTGAGACTTTCAGCTTTGGTTACTTGTTTAAACAAGCGAACAAAATCATTAAATGTTTCACAGGTTATTTGAGTAGAACAGTTACCCTCTGAAGAACTGAGATGATTCAATTTGTTTAAAATTTGTTCCAAAAGCAGCCTCAAAGAAAAGCATTCAACACAATTCACGAAGACATGTGGGAGCTGAAAAACAAAAATTTTAAAAACGTGTAAATAGAAAAGAAAACCCTCATATATGGTCACGGCTCTGCTGGATATTCCCTAGGTGTCCTTCTACTACTCTACATCCTTCCATTCCCCAACCTGCTCTGTACCCCAGGAGGCTGACCACTACAGACTGCATCACCTAGACTCTCTTATATTCTGGCTCTGGTTGGATTCAGTCAACAAGAAGAACCAGGAGCTTGAAAGAAAGCAATAAGAAGAAACAAAATGAATATTCCCTTAACTCACCCCTTATCCCTCAGTGGCCCTGTAGTTCCACCACAGCTACATTCTTCTACCAAAGGCCACAGCTCCAGCTGGGCAGCCCTCCCCATCTAAGACTATAGCTCTTACAGTGATCTGGTATCAGCTACTTCCCTCGGTCCATTCAGGTGTAGGGGGAGTAAAAGCTCTTAGTGCTTTATCGTCTCGATGGTTCCCTTAACATTTTTTCAACCTTTGTACAACAGTACCTTCATTAAACTCACTTCAATTATTTGAATTTGCCATTTGTTTCCTACAGAGATTCAGAGCTAATGTGTACTTTACTCTGAGAATTATTAAGAAACCCAAGTACATTTTAAAATTCTTAGTAGGAATTTCATATTAATAACTTTAAGATAATATTCTAATGATAAACAAACCTAGATCAAAAAGAATTTTAAAGTTTGAAACCACAGTAATCCTCCTATGAGGATTAAGCTAGCTCTTTATTTAGAGGTCAAAATGGAGGTTAATTCCAGAAGTAACAGGAAACAAAGACTTGCTTACAAATATAGTCTGTTCTCAAAATGAAATCACAAAAGTAGTTCTACTCATTCTGAGGAAGATAAATTTGGCATCTAGCACAAATAATGGAACTTAAAACTATTTTTAGTGATATTTATAACTATTTTTAGTGATAGTCTACAAATCTCACCTAAGAGCAAAGCTTTTCTTTCTCTTTCAGAGTAATAATGTAACTAAGGCTACCTTATATCTATCTCTTAGTCACAGTTTCACTAACATTTGCTGTCCTTTTTCACCCCTATTCCCTGATGAACTAGAGTCTACGATATCTCAAACAAAAACTGGTCAGAAATATTTCATATAGTAGAAGATATCCCTTCGGAGAAAGGTAAACTATACTAAATCTCCCAGATTCCTCCCATTTCTAGGAATCTATGAGGTTTAAAAAAAAAAAAATCAATTAACAGTTATTCTTACCTCTAAAGTTCTCAACAAAGTTTGTGTTACATAGGTCTTTCCACTGGCAGTATGTCCATAAATAAAAATTGATGGAAAGCTGAAATGATGCCTCTAAGAGAGAAAAGACAAGTATTAGTCAGCACATACAAAACAGTAAATAATTATCAACTCATGAGAAAGTTTTACAAGGCAAAGTAAAATATTCAATCCAAATTATTTCAATAGTGACCACACAATGGATCCATGATTACACTTTGAACTTACCTGAATTCAATTCTAAGCACTTTCTCTGTTAAATTAAAATGTCTGAAAAACTGTACTTGGCATACTTAGTATATATTACACATATAACACTATATATATATATATATATATATATATATATATATACACACACACACACACACACTATATATTATGTATGTATTTATACTTTTTATTACTGTGCAGTTTTATATGTCTGAACTCTTGTATTTTCAAATACATAGACTGCAAAGATTTTTCAAGAATAACTTTAACCATAATCCATTTTTATCTTAATTTTTTGGAGAATCTAATCTCACATGCTGCAATTTCATTACACATATTAAACAAAGCATACATAATCACAAAGTTGGAAGAAATTTCAAGAGTCCTCTCTTTTTCGGAAAACTTAACAGAAAACTTTTAAATTATGCATACTATATTTACCCTAGCCTAAATGTACACATTTCATCAAATAAAACAAAAAATCTATATATCGTGTATTTCAACACACATATTCCCAAGAACCTCAGGATAAATGTTAAGAGTCAGCTGTCCAGTAAAAAGTAAAGATTGTCAAATAGCCCCTCTCTTGGACTCCTTAATACTACAAATATGTTTCATTCATTTATTAAACACCTATCAAATGCTGAAAACCATAATGCACTGAAAAGTACAAATACCTGTTAAAGACAAAATCTGCTGTGGAGGGCGCCTGGGTGGCTCAGTGGGTTAAGCTGCTGCCTTCAGCTCAGGTCATGATCTCAGGGTCCTGGGATCGAGTCCCGCATCAGGCTCTCTGCTCAGCAGGGAGCCTGCTTCCCTCTCTCTCTCTGCCTGCCTCTCTGTCTACTTGTGATCTCTCTCTGTCAAATAAATAAATAAAATCTTTAAAAAAAAAAAAAATCTGCTGTGGAAGTGGGACAGTCTAGTGGGATGCACTTGTTTTAAAAAATAATTACAAGATGGGGCACCTGGGTGGCTCAGTGGGTTAAGCCTCTGCCTTCGGCTCAGGTCATGATCTCAGGGTCCTGGGATCGAGCCCCGCATCAGGCTCTCTGCTCAGCAGGGAGGCTGCTTCCCCCACTCTCTCTGCCTGCCTCTCTGCCTACTTGTGATCTCTGTCTGTCAAATAAATAAAATCTTAAAAACAAAAAAATTACAAGAATATAGGATGATGCAATTTCCACAAGAAAGCAGCATCTCTATGATCATAATCTACCACCACAATAATAGTCATGTGTTTATTATTATTTATATATTCACTATATGTAAGTTTTATTTTAATTAATTAAATAATTATTAGCATTATTATTATTATTTATTAAACATCTATTACATTCTGGCCACTAAGTTACACATTTCCTTTTGCAAGATAAATCAGGGACTCAGATTTATACATGAGAAAACTTTCTAATAGCATATGCAAAAGCAGCCCCAAAGGAGACTTACGATGGATGTTTTTGTATATTAATCCTTTTTTTATGTTTATACCTGACTATCCTGTAAATGGCTCAAAAATGCTATCCCAAGAATTAACCCATGCTTGCTGAGCATCTCTGCTATCCAAATATTATAGTTCATCTTTAAAAAGAAGGTCAAGAGGGGCACCTGGGTGGCTCAGTGGATTAAGCCTCTGCCTTCGGCTCAGGTCATGATCTCAGGGTCCTGAGATCAAGTCCCGCGTCAGGCTCTCTGCTCGGCAGGAAGCCGGCTTCCCCCTCTCTCTGCCTACTTGTGATCTCTCTCTGTCAAATAAATAAATAAAATCTTAAAAAAAAAAAAAAAAAAAAAAGAAGGTCAAGACATCCTTCAGGAAATATTTCCAAGCTACACTAAAACACTCCTTTTCTGAAATCCTGCCATACTGGTCTACATCCACTATTTGTTGCTTAGTAATATTCCACCCTATTGCTACCTAGAATTGTATTGAACTCTTGCACTGTTACTTACCCTTTCACCCTCATAAATCTCCTTAATAAACTCTAATTAGCCAGGATCCAGCACAGTGCCTAACACAAAGAAGGTGCTCAGTAAATATCTGTTGAGCAAATAAATGAATCTGCTTAGAAAAAAAGGTTTTTTTTTCAGTTTTTGCATCTCCCACATGCACACCACACCTTGAAGAAAAGTGGTATTAATATTGTTAAACGTGATGTGCAGTAAGAGTAAAGATCGAAACCCTTTCTGTGATCAACACTAAACCAATACTAGTCATCTCTATTTGTCAATATTCTTTTTTCTGGAGGACGGCTCTAGTTGGGAGTGATCCGGTTTTAGATCTTCTCCAAGGAAGGAATGCAAAGAGTATAACCGAGAAAATATTTCAGTGATGATACGGATAACTCTAACTGAAAGCATTATAACTAGAATACTGAGGATGCAGTCATTGACCTCTTACTTCCCTAACTACTATGCACTTTTACAGGAAGGACGGAGTTCTCCATTAATACTTCAGACTCAGAATGCCAACCAACATTTTTAGTCGGATGCAAGTACTTAAAGTACTTAAGGAAGCAAACCAGAAGATGGGTGGGAAGGAAAGATAACAAGTATTGCGCCTAAACTCTCATTTACTCTCCTCACAGGAAAGAAGACCCAAGTCTGACTGACTTAACTCCATGTCTAAGGCTGAAGCAAAAGGCTCACCACAGGCCACCAGAACATAAACAAAAATAGCTGGAAGTTTTGAACTGGTGAATGCTACCTCCTGCCTGTGAAAAGGAGTCCCTAGCTGTGTCCATTCAAAGACACTTACTTAACCTCTTCTTTCAGGCGTCACCTGAACTGCTCGTCAAGAGTTCTAGACAAGATCTCTTCAAGGCTTCTGCAATTCTGGAAAAGCCGCTCAAGTTTTAAACCTGAAGCCCGCCCTGGCTCTCTCTGGGCTCGATAACCACCACCTACACCCACGCTTGACTTACACCGAACACCTCAGTGAAACGTGCGAACTTACACCGGAAAAAAAAATAACACTGCCAACACACCGGTTACGTAAAATCTTTTTCAGCTGGGGTAAGATACTAAGCAACTTCCATTCGCTGCTTTAGGGTAACGCCATCTCAAAAGCGTGGCGTGTTTTAGTAAAAGAACGCATCCTGGGCCAACGTCCTGTGGTGCCGGCCGGTCCTGCCCGGGCCGTTCTTTTAAAGTGGACTAATCAGAAGTTACTTCGGGTGGAGGTGTAGGGTAGACCTACAACAACCCTTTCCTCAATGCAAAAAAAATGGATTCTTGCCTGCCCCTCAATCCAAACACGAAGACAGAAAATTGAGAACACGTCGCAAGACCACGGAAATGTTTGCCTCCAGAATTTGGAAGAGAAAAGGGAGTCTGACCACAATACCTCTCCAAACAGGGACTGCAAGATGGACACTTGGGACTCGCGACAAAGCACGGTGTTTTCCAAGTGAGGCATTCCGGCTGGTACCAGAGGGCAGCGCAGCCCTCAGTCAGCTCCAAGACCCGAGCCGCAAACTCCGCTCTCCCCTTGAGTCCGCGCTCCCGCCGGAAACCAGACTTGCGAAGGTGCGGCGGGGCCGGCGTACCCGTGCGTCGGCGTACCCGTGCGTCGGCGTAACGGCAGCGCGCACGGGAGCGTCGCCCCGCCCCATCTCCCGAGGTCCGGAGGAAGCGGGCTCTGTTTCTCCCTTCGAGGAGGGATTTGGCTGACGGTGCTGTTGGTGATTGGACTTCTCGGCTGCCGCTTTTTGCCATCCAAAGGTCGGGAAACCACACCGCGATGCGAGACCCATCAATCGCCTGGCAGGAGCTAAGGGGACTCTGCGGGTTTCTGATCACCCCCCAACCCGTAGCTTTGATTTTCTTGCCTGCAGAAACTGAGTCCCAGGAGCTTTCGTCCTGAAGCGCCATCGTCATCAAGGAAAAGTAATGCTCCCACGCTGGGCATGGAGCCTGCTTAAGATTCTCTTTGGAGGGGTGCCAGGGTGGCCCAGTGGTTAAGCGACTGCGTTTGGCTCAGGTCATGATCTCACGGTCCCTGGGTGGAGCCGGACATTGGGCTCTCTGCATGGCGAGAGGCCTGCTTCTCCCTCTCCCACCCTTCCTCTGCTTGTGTTCCCTCTCTCTCTCTCTCTCTCTCTCTCTCTCTCTATCTATCTATCTCTGTCACATAAATAAATAAATAATCTAAAAAAAAAAAAAGATGCTCTTTGGAGGCGATTCAGTGGCTCATTCAGTTAAGCGACTGACTTTGGCTCAGGTCATGACTACAGAGTCCTGGGACAGAGCCCTGTAGTGCGCTCTGTGATCTGCAGGGAGTCTGCTTGTTCCTCTCTGCCCCTCCCCATGCTCATGCTCTGTCTTTCAAATACATAAATAAAAATCTGTAAGAAATTCCCTCTCCCTCTCTCCCTCTCCCTCTGCTCCTGCCCCCCTCCCCTCATAGGCACTCGCTCAAAAAAATAAAATATATATTGAATTAATGACTTTTTCCAAATGACTAGCATGAGTTTTATTACAGAGTAGATATTTAACCACATTTGCTGTATGAAATGAACAATTAAGGAAAACTTCCTGCTAAAGTAAAACACCAAAAAGGGCCCCAATATCCCTAGTTTCAGTTGCAAAAATGCTTTCTGTGCCTTGAAATGAGGCATTCCATTTTTACTCAGTAGTCTGATTATCATAGTTTTAGTCACTTTGAAGACTACGCTGAGCTCAAAAGAAAGTATAAATGGTTGTTGAAAAAATAAGCATATAAAATCCAATTTTACTCTGAAATGAAGCTACCATTAGGTCCTTTGGCCATTTGCTGTTAAGGAAATTTGAACATAAAGGACCAACATGGTCTTTAGAAACTGGGTAATAAAGAGGTGCCTGGCTGGCTCAGTTGGAAGAATATGCAACTTTGATCTCAGGGTCTTGAGTTGGAACCCCAGGTTGGTTATACAGATTACTGAAAAGAAAGAGATTGGGTAATATACCCTCAGTACCACATTACACTTTAGTGAAAGTCCCTCCAGGTAGATGAGGACATTGCTTCGAGTATTATTTTAAAATAAACCAAATATTGACTTCTTTCCAAAACAAACATATTATGTATTTAAAGAACATGTAAATACTAATTAAACAATAATTACCTGTATGCATGAATTTATATTAGGAGAAAACATAAAATGAAATAGATTTGAAAGCAATGTCATACTTAGGCAGATTGCTATATTTTATGTACCCTCTCTGAACTTACTATACATCTCTCTAGTTCAATCTAGGCACTATGTCCACTTTTTCTGCTCCTTCCATTTACCACCTGTGATAGGCAGAATAATGGCCTTCCAAAGATAGCTGTGACCTAATTCCAGGGCCTGCGAATATGTTAGATTACATGGCAAAGGGGAATTCAGGTTGCAGGTGGAAGGAAGGTTATAAGGTTATAACTTTGGCAGAAGGTGTTTAGACACATGGGCCCAGTCTAATTACAAGAATCATTATTAGTGGAAGAGGTAAGCAGAAGAAGTAGAACCAGATGGGTGGCAGTGTAAGAAAGACTTAGACCAATGTTGCTGGCTTGGAAATGGGAAAGGGGACATAAGCCAAAGAATGCAGACAGCCTCTAGAAGCTGCAAAGGGGAAGAAAATGGATTCTCCCCAAGAGCCTCCAGAAAAGAACGCAGCCACGCTGAAGCCTTGATGTTAGTCCAGTGAGACTCTTCAGACTTCTCACCTCCAGAACTATAAAAAAAATTGTGTTGTTTTAAACCCCTAAGTGTGTGGTAATTTGTTACAGCAATGATAGAAAACTAATGCACCACCTGTTCCGTTCGAGTTCATCCTGATTTTTCTGCTGGATTAAAATATATAGAGACTCCACTCATTAATACTCCTATTGGTTCGGCTTTGTAGTAATCATGTTTGGAATAAATTAGGGATATTAAAGTGGTTAAAAAGAACATTTGTCTCTACTCACCGATTTCAAGAGTGAGGATCATAACTCGGACCCTGAAGTAGTACAACTTTTTTTATCGCACCAAAATTACGAAACAACCCTATTAGAATTCTATCAAAACTTAAAATGCCAAAAATGGTGCAAATTCAAGGAAAACTTGTCAAATATACTCCTATTGCAGAAGATTTCAACAGCATCTCCTTCAACTACTGTTAGATGAAGCAGACAAAAACAGTAAGGACACAGTAGGTTTGAAAAACATAATTAACAACCTTGATTTGCCAGACATACATAAAATTATTGCTTTTTCCAATATTATTCCATCCTCGATTCTTGGCTTTCCCTGTGGACTTGCAATCCAGAGGTGGTCTCTCTCCACATTCTAGCCTCTCGTCAAGAGACACAGAATGCTGTTTGTTCCCCCCCCACCCCTTGCTATTTGCCTGTCTGATCAGAGGGTAGGAAGTATTCTCGGCTGTCCTGTCCTGCTGCAGTCTTCTGCTGGCCCTGAAACTTAGCAGTGGGTTTTTTTCTCCATAAATCTGTCCTTCTCTCCATAGCGGCTAAACTCTGCAGTGTGTCTTTGGGAGATCTTATTTGGGATTTCCTGCTCTGCTCCTAAGAGCAGAAGGTGTTTTCCATTTACCCTTCTCCCAGCTGTGCTTTTAGCTTTTCACATGTACTCTGTAGGTAAGAGGGTTCGTTGCCTTTCTTCTGAAGGCTTAAGACTTTTGTTTTATACAGAACAAGAGTCAGGGTGGGGTTTTGTTCATTTCGCAATTTCCAATATTTCTCATTTCTCATTCTCTCATTTCTCATCTCCTCTACCTTGTACCCTAGGGAAGCTTTCTTCTGCACTGCCCTCGAACTTTCTTGTGAGCATCCAGTGGAGGTCTAGGGAGATGACCCTGTGAGTGTGAGCTCTCTTGGTTTGTGGCTTTATCTTAGTTATAATTGACCTTCACTAAATCATTAAAAATTTTAGCTCAACATTTTTACCTGCTTCTATGGCACCTACCTTCTCCCCTACCCCGCATTTTGCTACAGGTGAGTCAATGCTTACATCCATCCCTCTTCGGAGGAGCCCATCTTTCCTTAAATTTCATGTTACTTGGTTTCCCTGTGACCTTAGCTCTTCTTTGACCCCTGTGGATTAAAGAAAAATTACTAGTTTATCCAGCTTTTCTTGTTAGAGTGGGAGTAAAGCTCTTTCCAGATTTTTACAATCTAGATTATAGTGGAACTCAACTAGTTATTTTTTAAATGCAAGCTCACATCCATTCTCATTTCCCTTTTTAATTTTTCTGCCTTTGGTTTGAACCTTCCATCTGAAAGCATTTACATCATTGACTTCAGCTGTATTTTCTAGGAAACCAAACCTAAGATACCTATTTCAAGTCCAAGCTCCAGTCCTACAAAACTTCCCCCATTTTGTCAACAAAACATTTCCAATCTCTCAAGTCTAATAAGATAAATACTTTACACTTATAGAGCACCTGACATTCTCAACCTTGTATTACAGATATTTGTGCTCATGGTTTTTGGGGCAACAACTGGATTAAAATACTCAGATTCATTTATTTATTCCTTCCTTCATTTATCTAGCATTTGAGCGGAGTGCCAGAGATGCAGTGTGACCAAGAGAGACGTTGTACCCCATCCTTGTGAAACTTACAATCTAGTGGGGAAGACGATGAAGACATAATTAGAATCTTATGTCCTACAGATGCCCATTCTCAGTAAAAAACAATAAATAATATACTTACAGAATGAACAAATGAGTGATTGAACAACCCTTCACAATTTTCCCCTCTCTTCTTTATGTTACATTTAGCCTCAAATATAATGTTTCTTATGGTCCCTATTACGTTATTTGAGAATTTCACTGACTATAACCCCAGGAAATATTTTCCACAAAACATCTTCTTTTTTAAAAATTATTTATTTTTATTTTTTATTAACATATAATGTATTATTAGCCCCAGGGGTACAGTTCTGTGAATCGTCAGGCTTACACACTTCATAGCACTCACCATAGCACAACCTTCCACAATGTCCATAACCCAACCACCCTCTCCCTACCCACACCCCCCCAGCAATCTACAGTTTGTTTTGTGAGATTAAGAGTCTCTTATGGTTTGTCTCCCTCCCGATCCCATCTTGTTTCATTTTTTCCTTCCCCACCCTCCAAACCCCCCATTTTGCTTCTCAAATTCCTCATATCAGGGAGATCATATGATAATTGTCTTTTTCTGATTGACTTACTTCACTCAGCGTAATACCCTCTGGTTCCATCCTCGTCATTGCAAATGGCAAGGTTTCATTTCTTTTGATGGCTGCATAGGATTCCATTGTATATATATACACCACCTCTTCTTTATCCATTCATCTGTTGTTGGACATCTAGCTTCTTTCCATAGTTTGGCTATTGTGGACATTGCTGCTATAAACATTTGGGTGCACGTGCCCCTTCAGATCACTACATTTATATCTTTAGGGTAAATACCCAGTAGTGCGATTGCTGGGTCATAGGGTAGCTCTATTTTCAATTTTTTGAGGAATCTCCATGCTGACAAAACTTCTTCTTTGATAAGTGATCAAAAAGTAG